TTATTAACCTCTAATTAAAATGTGTTAGTCAATTTAGTTTTAAATTATCAGAAATAAAAGAGATGTTAACTATTAACGTAGTCAGTTCTTTTCTAAGCATAAGTTCATAGATCCCATATGAAGTAGCAAATAATTATTCTGAACAAATGTCAATACTTTTAATTTCTTTATGATTACGGTTTGTAAATATGATAGCTCTGTCTGTACGCTCTGTAAAAACGGCAATCTTCTAAATACAGAGTTTAGGTTACTATCTGGTTACTGTAAAGCTCTTAATGACATAAGGCCGTAACCTGTTTAGTATTTAGGAAATGTATATTAAAGCGTATCGTACAAAGATACAGAAACAAAATTAATTTTTAAATTCTGTATAAACTGCGTTTTTAAGTCGACATACTCTAGGATCATCTGGCCTCATAATCATGTATACAGACTTGTACTCTTTGTTATCTCCATCCCTTTTCACATAATTTCTAACACCGATTAATCCTAGGACGCCGCCAATAATCCCCATACAACTTGCAGCCATAATTTCTGGTATTTCCCACCATCCTTTCTTGAACAAACCGACTAGTGTATTCGCAAATTTAACTTGATGACCAATTTCCTTAGGCATCGGCATATTCGTTATTAGTAACCAACACTTTTTAATTGTTAATTTTTAATACAATATTCGCTATTAAGTTAAAAACCGATTTTGAAGATATAACAAGCGAAAACTGTAAATCAAATATTATTACGCACGTGACAATTGCGTGAAGTTTATTTTTTTTAATGTAAAAATAGTACTTCACCATTATTTCACCAGTTATTTATAACGTAGTGATATACACTTATTCCAGAAATCCTACCAAAAAAACTAAGGTTTTGGGTTATTTCATAAAAATGCGCAACTGAAACTCGATACAAACATCTTGTAATTGACTGCGAAATCTAAAATATATCACATTCTTAAATTTTAAACATTTACGTTTGCCATAGGTCACATCTCTAGCCGTAACTTAAACCTGAAAACAAGAGTGTACAACCAGTGCGTGCTGTTAGTAATGACATATGAATCTAATACTTGGTCCTTCACTGCTGACATGCTAACCGTCTAAGGAGCTCACGGTCCCGAATCGAATTCGAGGAAGGAATGTCAGAATGAAAGAATGTCAAGAATGGCTGTGCTTGAAAGTTTCGATGTGCAATAAGTAATGAGTGTATCTGCAGGAATGCAGGTGAGGAGGTAGGGAGGCCTTTGTTTAACAGTAGACTTGTGATTGGCTGTAATGATAATAACAGTGATGATGAGGACATATTTATGCATCACATTGCGAAGGTATTGGGAGGTTTTGACCATAGCTTGAGCCAGCAAACATTCGATAACGATAATTTCTCAAGGCATAAGCAGAAAAAATAACTTGCGAGTGACATCACCATAGGAGCATTTGTTTCATCGTTCCCACATTCCAAGTTCAGTAAGTTCGATAATGCCACCGCTATACGCGTTTAAAATTGTGTCCCATTTGCCCACGTTGACTGACTTGTATTTTCTTAATTAAGATTATTTTTCTACCAACTTCAAAAAGAGGAGGTACTCATCTCGACAGTATGTTTTTTTAATGTGTGTGTTACTTCACAACTTTTTCCTGGGTAAACCGATTTCGATGATTCTTTTTTTATTTGAAAGCTGGTGCTTCTCATGTCTCAGTTTCTATAAATTTAATCAGGTTCGGACCAATAGTTCTTGAGTTATTCTTAATAATTTATATCGAAGTCGGTGGTACGAAATTTTTAATTATCAATTATTTTCTTTTCGTTTTGCGTAAATGAGGGCTAATAAATAATCTTACACTCATTAGCTGTTGCTGGTTGGGACTAAGATGAACTTATTTGTTACGCAGTTGGTCACACAGTGTCATCATCCTTGAAAAGTTGCGATTTAAATATAAGTTTTTCGGTTTCTAGTGTAAGTATATATTACAACCTCAGCACTCTATTTTTTAATTTTTGACAAATTTTTAACTTCTACTTTTATCAATGTTCATAGTTTGGTTTTCTAATTTCATTAATATAAAATATGTCTAATATTTTAGAAAAAATCATTAATCTCTACACTTTCCTACTAAATTAATTACCCTCGCTATGAAATCTGTCAAATATTTCACCTCCTTCTTAAGTGGCGCCGCGCCGTTCTGCGGACAAAAAGTCGTCGATGTCCTCATTACGTCTGGCCATCTAGCTTACCCTTAATTTAGTAAATAGCCTTACAGAAAAATAAATTATTTTTTTACCATGCCACATTTGATACCCACACAAAGCAACACGGACTGCCATTATATTTTCTATCGTTTCACTCTCTCATGCTTCCTCTACACTACTCGCGAAGTAACTTCGACGAAGTGCTCGTCGAAGTCGATCGCAGTCCGAAGAACGTGACCACGCACTCGTGCTACTTCGCGAAGAGCTCAGTCGTCTTGCGTCTCCCGCACCCTTAACCCATTCACTGCCTTCCTCAGAAATGACAACATTACCCTCATGCCGCCATATACTAGTATTCAGTCCGCCCATCGGCGGACCCGGCATCTCGATAAAGTATCTTGGTCCGCCCATTGGCGGTTTCGTCATGAGGCCTTAGATTTCGACGTGAGATATTTTTAATGTCTAATTTACATGTCCTGTTCATTGCGTAGAGCGTGTTTGTGTATATTTTTGTGTTATTTGTGGAAAAATTGCCAGTTTCATTTGTTATTGTTGTTGTTAACCGAATTATTAATGGAGTGTGAAGATAAGGCAAAAGTTGTAGCTAAATGTATCTTAATCAGCGTATAAGATAGATTTAAGCACGAGCTTAGTACAAGGAAGTCTAAAAATGAAATATAAAAGCATACGTTTTAGGGCTTTTTTAAAGTCATGCGTAGTCACCCTTTTTGTATGTTTAATTTTTTTCCCACGTCTTACGTTTATTGCATTAATTCCTACCTATGAACGAAATATTCGTTCACAGGTAGGAATTAGGCAGAGGAGATAGTCTCAACTCGATGCACTTAGTCAAACAGCAAACGAACTTCCAAAATACTCAGCAAAACTCAACTTGTGAAAACCACGAACGTCAAGATGCGAGTGAAAGCTCTTTTCCGTAGACTATTTTTTCTATAATATGCTACTTACATACGTTAAATCATAAATCATGCAAGTTGTAAAATTATTGGTATCCATAACAAAAGGTATCGGCACTTCTTTTGTTTTCAAAATGACTATTACGGACCGGCTCCTTTTGTTCAGAGCTGCATTCTTATTTTGATTACCGACAGTTTATGATCTTATCTGTATTAAATCACAATCCGAAATAGGTCATTAGGCAAAATTAAATCATAGATCATACCGAAAAATTTTAAATGGTAGGTGACCAAAACAAAGGTGTTGGCTGTCGGCACTTTGTCCGTTTTCAGTGACGAATACCGATCGGCTACCTTTTATGTAGATCATCATCTGCATTCTTATCTTGCTTCCTTGTTACTACTTGGAAGTGATTCGATTGCTATAAAATAACAAGATTTTGAGATTTCGATGTAGGTCCCATAAAAGAAGTTGTTGTATTTGAACAATAAAATCACTCCCTAAAAGGATTACCCGCTTTTTGTAACAGCTTGTATATTGTAACAACAAAGTTTATATTTTATTAACACTAAGTGTAAATATACTTTATGTTATAGTTTATGATTAAAATTTTAACGAAAGGTTTGTTAATTCTGAATACGCGTACTGCCCGCCCATGGGCGGGGTCGGCATGACAGGTTTTTTTTTTTATAGGAGAGAGGGCAAACGAGCATGCGGCTCACCTGATGGTAAGTGACTACCGCCGCCCATAAACAACTGCAACACCAGGGGAATCGCAGATGCGTTGCCGGCCTTTAAAATTGTCCTTTTATAAAACCTTAGATATCCGCAGCCCACTTTGGTAACGAATCAATTATAATAAAACGAGTTATCAAACAAAATCTTATAATTTTTTCATGTTATTTGGCATACTTATTAACGTTTGAAATCCGTCCGCCCATGGGCTCGGCATGGGAATAAAAAAGTATTACCCGCCCAAGGGCGGGCAAGGCCCTGAGTTGAGGTTAACATGAATGACGTTCAAGAGGCTGCTGCTATAGGTACCTATTTGTATGAACAGTACGACGTCAATGCGTTAACTAAATAAATAATTATGTAGAAAGTTACATATTTAACATTTATATATAAAAAATATATTCATAACTGGCGTATGCCGAGTACTGTAGTGAGACGCTTCGTGTAACTTCGGGGTACTTCGTGATATCCTTTGACTCTGGCGCAAAAAACCGGCAGCGATCGGAAGTCGCCCGAGGCGAAGCGAGGTTGGACGAAGTGAATCGAAGTACCTCTCTACACTATTCGCCTCGTCCAACTTCGATCTACTTCGCGAGTAGTGTAGAGGAGGCATCACAATTAAAAGTTTTATGATCGTCTCGCGTCAACGAACAAGGATTTTAAGGAGTTGAGACAGTATATTTCATTTTCTCGTCATTTCAAGGAGTAGATAAATTCGAAATGTCGTTAGCGAATTTTACTAGTGTATTGATAGACCATTAACAGTTGGCTTGGCTTGGCAGAAGATTAACGGTTGATTTAAATATAATATTATAACATAATATAAATAACACTATAGTGCGCTGATTCAACGCCAATTTCTATCATAGATAAATATATATTCTATTTCCCATAATGTTTGACCATAGAGTAAGATAGCAGAAGTTGATAGAATTAGAAGTATGATTTGGCTTTGGAGCTTTTGATTTTGACATTGACATTTATGACATTGGTTGACATCAGGAAGGTCACGCGATAATTCAAACAAAATACCTACATATACAGACCTATACGGTTTTGCGAAACGAAGTGATTATATTCTCTTGGCATAATAATATAGTTTAAGCAAAGGCAGTATTACAGGGCATTTATCTAAATATTTACTATTAAATAAATAATACAAGATGGTTTCACGTTTTGAAGTAGTAGAGCAAGGGCCTCCGATTGAGGTCTTCCAACTCAATAAACTTTTTATCGACGACTCATTTAAAAATAAAGTGAACTTAACAGTCGGTGGTAAGTATATTAAATCATTTATTTACAATTTAAAATTACAACTATGTATAATTTAAAATACTTAATTCTTGTCTTATTTACAAAACAATTATGTAATCAGCCGGCTAATTGACAGCAATATCCTACAACTATAAACTCGCTTGTTTTATAAAAAAAAAGAATATTTAATTACACAACGCATTAAACTAAAAAAAAAACAAGAATAATGAGTATCTGAACTAGGATAATCCTGAATCTTAGGTGTATGTGCTAATAGATACACTAACAAATATTTTCTGTTTCTTATATTAAATGAATAACATACCAACTAATTAGGGTTAATTTTGTTAAAATATATATTACCATAAATAAACTTAAATATAATAAACTTTAAAAAAATATATTATCATAAATAAACAAATTAGCTTAAAACAGTCTGCAACTTTTCCATATAATAACCAGACAAATTTTGTAACCATGTTCAAATTACATTTTTACAATCTGCCACTTTTATGAATACATGTACAAAATTGTATTGAGTTTATTTTATATAATTTAAAATAAAAAAATTGTACAACCGCCTTCAATATATATAATATCATCATCATCATCATTACAGTCCTTCACAAGTTCACTGCTGAACATAGGCCTCACCCAAGGAATGCCACAAAGCACGGTCCTGAGTCACCTGCATCCATTGACTTCGTACACATCTTACCAGGTTGTCACTCCATCTAGAGGGGGGACACCCTACACTTCGTCCGCCGGTATGAGGCTGCTACTTGAGAACCTTTTTTCCATATTTTATATATTATATATTGAACTCAAAAATTATTGGTCAGACCTTGATCAAATTTATATGTGACCACATGAGAAGCATTAGCTTTCAAATAAAAAAAGAATCATAGAAATCGGTTCACATAGAACAAAGTTATGACATACAAAAAAAGACATACAGTTGAATTGAGTACCTCCTCCTGTTTGAAATCAGTAGAAAAAGGGCAAAATCTATGAAAGAATGTCTTATTCTAATGTTACTTTTACTTAATTTATCTTTTGAGATGTAATACCTTAAAGTAAATTGTAATTATATACATAAAATAATATTAAATTTATTTAATTACTTGTCCTTTGTTTCAGAAACCCATCATAATTTCTTTATTGTCTAATAGCAATTACTTTTAATTATTAAAATTACCTTCAAAAAATAAACTTGATTAACAAATGTTTTATTTTATGCAGCATACAGAGACGAAAATGGCAAACCCTGGGTCTTGCCTGTTGTTCGCAAAACTGAGGAACAAATGGCTGCCGATCAATCACTCTTACATGAGTACCTGCCTGTACTTGGTAAGTCCTATATAAGTAACATACTTCTACATCTTGTAGATTTTAACAACATGCTCAGCTTTAAAGCAAAGCTAGAGAAACAAACTATTTACTTAGAACAATAATTATTCATTAGTTACAAGTTTAATGAATGTAAGGAAAATAAATATTGTTTTCATAAAAATCGCACCTTTCCTTCAGTTGGCATTACTTCCCAGAATGAGAGGATGACTATGATAGAAACTATGAGAGAATGGTGCAATGATAGAATGTGTTATTAGGGTTCCGTACCTCTAAAAGAAAAATACAAAACTATTATAGGATCACCTTGCTTTCCATCTGTTCATCCATCTGCCTATCAAGCAATAAAATCCATAACATTTATTCATTAAATTTTTTTAAAAACAAAATTTTTTGCTCATTTGTTGGAACCTCTAGTAGTTTTATGTTCTTCTGCATTAAGGCGCAGGTTGAGCAAAATGTCGCGCCAGTCGTTATTTGGGCGGTTTTTAGAAGCTATCTACTTTTTATTTATAAGATATATCAACAAATAAAAAACACATTATATTTCTACATAATCTTGATTCCATAAAAGCTATATCCAATTTTTTTTTAATCGAATAAATATTAATATAATCTCCTTACAACGAAACCACATAAATGTGAAATTGTTATTGATAACATGGATCTCCTCGTAAAGTAAGTATTATTTTATTTTGCGATTTACACCAATGGGTAGGCAATTTATTAATAAACATTTCTATAGTAAATTTTTTTTCAAAAGACCAAAATTTGATTTTATTAAGAAATTATTTTAAAATCTGGGCATATTCACTGCTCACGGGCTTGCTTAGTCAGTGAGCCCTGAGCTCTTCGACGCGAAGCCCGTGTCGTTAGAGCGTCGACCAGCGCCGCATACACTCACGTAATATCAGTCGATAAATAATATTACTTATTAGGTTATTTATAGGTAGTATTATTTGTTTGTTTTGGGTATAATTTTTCGTATTAGTTATACATATATTTGTTGTGTTTTTTACTGCGCGATGAAGCTTTTTGCGTGTATTTTCTTTGAAGTAAATGCAAATAAAAAAATGAAGCACCATTAGCATGTAAGGTTCGAATCTATAATTAAAATTTCGACAAATATTATAATTTACACTATAAAAGGCTAATTCAATATTATCACCCAACCACAATATCTTATCAGGTATAGTACTGCCTCGTTGGTCTAGTGGTTGTAGTAGTGCGACTTCTGATCATGAGGTCCCGGGTTCGAATCCTGGGTCGGGAAAAAGGTCAGTTATGAGTTTTTCATTTTTGTTCTAAGTTATAATTAGTATTACTAAGTTATAGTTTTTTGCTAAAATATAGTATATTATTTATTGCTTGTTTTTTCTTCTTTTTCAAAAAATAATTGAGTACATAAGGTGTTCTATACTTATAATTCGGTAAAAAGTATCTAAGTAGGTACTAATATACCTACTTTTTACTACTAAAAATTTTTAAAACTAAATTTAACTAAAAAGACTAAACTGACCATTTATTTTTTAACTCAAAACAGGACATGGGTTTATTTATACTCTAAAAACTATAACTTTATACAATTAGTGTTCACTATAAAATTATATTCGGTATAGACGGTAATTATTAAATGCAACATATTTTTTTTAATTATTAATTACATTTGTCAGTGGATTAAATTTGCTTTAATAAAGTTGGTGATGATTTTAAATAAGAATAAAATTCTGCTCAAGTTTTTTATTGTTATCTTTGTTAACAACATCGCCTTTAGAACTCTGGAACCGTAAGTGTTTCTTTCAGACGTCCACAATTTATGCAAAATAAAAAAATACTCTTTCTACCGGAGCATTCGTACCAGGTAGACATAAAATATATTCGATTAAAAAAAATTATGTTGAAGATTGTTGACTTTGAATACTTCCATCCAACTAGTTACATGACAATTTTGTGTCCCGGAGCTTTGTTTGGGGACAATGGGACAGGAGACCGAGAAAAGGGACAGTCCCGTTCAAAAGGGGACGTATGGTCACTTTAGCTATAACCCGGCGACCATGAAGCAAATACAAAGTTAGTCTTTGTATTAGCTTCATGGTGGCGCAGTGGCTTAGCAATCAGTTGTTGCGCTGGGGGCCGCGGGTTCGAATCCCGCATGGAACAAGTATTTGTATGGCCTACAAATAATTGTTCCGGGTCTGGATGTTTGTCTTTGTGCAATTTATGTTTGTAAACTGCCTCCACGACACAGGAGAAAATCCTAGTGTGGGGGTAACGTTTTTTTACAACTGAAATTGAAAGATTGAACCCTTATACTTCTTGTTGATTTTTGTATTACCTTTATTAAAGTTACCCTTATGTATAAATAAATATAATTACGTATGTAGAAATAAAATTGATTTTCATCCTCATCAATCATTGGGGTGAGGATAATATCTGCCAGCATAAGTTCAAAAATTAGTAGGTAACTTTTCAATACGTGACACGTAAAAATTAACAATAATCAAAAACACATATGCGAAACATCCTATTTATTTATTTATTTTTTATTGCACCAAATATTTGTACAAAAGCCGAGCTATCTATTTATTTACCTATAGTGAATAGGTATCTTTTAAACTCACAATTTTCAATGCTTCAGTTTTAATATATAATTAATTATAAAATTTCATAATTAGATAATATATGAAAATACATAATTCTAATATAATGCAACTAATATATACAGAATAAAAAAATTAAAATACATTTATCTTTGTACGCTATGTGTATTTCCATAAAATAGTTTATTGATGTTGAAAAAATAATACTACTTTCGTACAATAGGTGGCGTCTTACATATTTCTTCCGGCGAGCCGCTCGCTACAATATATTAATATTGTAGCAAGCGGTCAAATGCTCAAGGTCGTTCGCATGGAGTAGCCCCTTAATGATAACCTTAATTGCAACAGTAATTCGTAATAGTGATAAGAACATAGGTTGTAGTTCTTCATGAAATTGTATTATGATAATGAATTACACAATGCCTTAATAAATACAATAGTTAAAAATACATTTGCTGGACATATGCCCGCTATGCACTTGTTTATAAGAAACTGTGCCAACTGGTTATTTTAAGATATGAATGTTTTCATTACGCATCAAAATAATATATTATCTTTAAGTTTATGATATGTTTGCATTTTATAAAATATTTTTTTATTAATTATTTAATTATTCAAAATATGTGTAGATCTAAAACTAGGCGGTAGGTGTCAAGTTAAAAACTAGCATATCATGGCTGCAGCGGGAAGGGGTCAACTTGACAGGGGAAAGATCTCATTTGCACTGCAGCTCCCAGCGTGCATATATTTCATACACATGTAAATAATTTTACGTATCTTTGAGAGGGGTTGGGGTGTATTGGGGATATTACAACTTATTCTTCAAATTTTATGCCATAAGCTAGTTATACCAGTTACTCAACTCCAAAGAGTAATTAATTCCTTCATGACCTATGTATACATATTTGCAACAAAAAGTCCCAGAAAATATGCAGAACCTATCTATTGAAGTTTAAAATTTTTATTAAGAAAAAATTGTTTAACAAAGGTTATTATACTACTAAAGAGTACATGATTGATAATAACCCCTGGGATTGATGTGAACGATACCATGATTTTACTAAATGTTTTCATACTTAATTGTATAAAATATTATATTGCAAATTAATGTTTTAAGATATAGTCTTAAATTACTTTCAATAAGTATTCTCGCAATCTATATTTAATAAAAAATTATCTATTCTCTATGTCTTAAAGCCATGGTGCAACATATTATCACTGTAATACTTACATGCGGTTTCAATGAAGGAGGAAAAAGTACGAATCACACTCGACCGACCTGAAATCACGCTCATCACGCATAGAATCTTAGTGAGAAATAGTAGCACAATACAGCTGTGTTTTGTATTAACGCATTATGAGAACTGGAGCCCTTTTTCTGGTTACGAGGCATTGCATAGTCAGGAGTGAACCTCTCATTATAGGAGAAAGGTGTTCTGATCACGTGTTCTCGTAATTCGAGTCTTCTTACCGGGAAAGAGGGGTGACGTAAAAACAGTTGCATGTTAAAACATTCTTGTTTTGTTACAGTATTAATCAATATTGTTAAATTACATCACAGTGTTTCATTACTGTCATCTTATCTCATTAAAAAAGCGATAGGTTATCGGAAAACATACTTATGATATTGTTTTAATAATGGTCTATTGCAGCATGAGTGACGTGATGAAAATTGAATTCTTAGTTACACTACAATAAAGCGTATCTTACCATACACTTATCGCATTACGTCATTGATAGAAGATTACCTTAGAAAACTGTAGTTATTAAAGATCGTTTTTTTTTACGGAGCCAAATGAATTTTACTTATTAGCAACTTGATTAGCGATCCAATGAGCAATGTCAAAATTTGTTTTAAGTGTTTGGCGGTGCTACGGACTGTGGTTGATACTATGGACATGGAACAAGTGTTTGTACAGTCTATAAATAATTGTTCCCGATCTGGATGCATGACCTTGTGCAATTTATGTATGTGTATCTGAGAAATCCTTACTGATTGTGATTTAAAAAAAAAGTCTTCCACCTGCTGTTTTATACGTTGATTTTACAGTAGCTAGATGCGATACGACCTTGCTGTTATTATCATCAAGCAGGGCCCATTCTATTATTATTAGCGTTTGTTAGCTGAATTTGTTCACAGTATTTCCACTGCACATCAATTTACTGAGTTTACGGCACTGTGAGTGAGCGAGAATTTTGTTGTTGCATGAATGAAATACATATTCTTTACCCTCCTATATTATTGTATATGGGGTCCATTTTAATATAATTCAAAAAATATATAATATAGTAGGCGAAAGAAATATATTTTAATATATAAAAGGAACGAAAGAAAAGATTCACATGTAATAAATCTTAAGGTAATAATAATAATATACATTGGTACGTACATACTCACGCCTGTCACTCGGAGGGGTACGTAGAGACTATGAGCTGTCATTTGTCGCGATCCTGACACACCTCTTTCGCTTACTTCACGTCCATAATATATTTACACATTCATGCTCATCTCACTTAATTTGTCTAATATATCGCCAAAGTTGTCGATAAACTTCCCTTTAAGGTGTCTCTTGCTGACTCTGCCTTTATCAGTTGACACTTATTTCGGAAATATATATATTTTTTAATGTTTAACGAAATATAAAATTTTAATTACATAACATGATATACAATATTTTATTATTTACAATATTAAAACTATAAGTAATAAAAAAAAAACTAAAAACTTAATTATCATACAGTCCTACTCCCCGCGGTTTCGTGCCAAGAACGCTGGCTGCGTTTCCGCGCTGAATGGCTATACCTTGGCCTTTGAGCGAGAAAAGAACCAGCCCTCTTATCACCAGCAGCAACGATCAGCGGCGGTTGGAGTTCCTTAAGGAACTTCACCGCACGTGGACCCCGCGGACCGATAGTCTCTACAGCAAATGGCACAAATATATAGTCATTTCTCAGAGTCTCACATTTGGTTTAAACTCTTTTCTCATTCATACTTTCTACTTAAACCAAACACTGCAGCATTCCTTTCTTAATCCTAGTCACAACATCTTACAAACTACACATTTCTCTTATCCCACAATTTCTCATCTTAAGATTATGTTTTCATATCACTCGAGCACGAAAAATTATGTGATATGCTGTTTCGTACTAAATTTCATAGAGCTATCTTATTACATTTAACAACCTTCTTTAAAAAGTTGTTTTTTACAGGATTGGATCAGTTCACTGCTGCGTCAGTGTCCATGCTACTTGGTGAAGACAACCCGGTGATAGCAGCTGGTCGTGTGAGTTCATATAATTTAATCAACCGATGGATTTTTTAAAAAATTTACGTTTATATCTTTAACGTTGAAATCCGAAATCTTACTTGTAAAAACTGAGGCACTCATTTGTTGTAATTTGTTGTGTCTAATGTCAGATTTCTACATTCAAGAAACGTTTCGTTCTACGTTACGATCCGTTTTATTACATATGAGATACATGTTGAAACAGTTTACATAACAAACTATTAATTACAACATAAGGTGACTTAAATGAAAAAAAAAATCTTTAAACGATTCATAAAAAGTGGTTTTCATTAGACTTGCTACAAATATTCGACTATTATTCGGTATTCGGCCTATTCGGCTACCTTTATCATATTCGGCCGAAAATTTAAGTAAGAGGTTTTATTGTAGTCAGATAATTGGTAAAATGAAAATATTTATTTATAATTTTTTTTTGTAATCATTAAAGTATAGTTAGATACATAATCAACTTCCATATTATAAAAAAATAAAACAGAACTATCAGATAAATGTCTATGCATTCGAATTATCGTAATTAAAATAGAACATTTTGGTGTAGAAAGACTAATTTGCTTTATTTGCAGGCAGTAGCTTATCATAGACAACACCAGTTCAGAGAATAGACGCTCTGTATATACTACTCCCTCCCGGCCGAATATTTTTGCCTAATATTCGGCCATTCGATCAGGAAGTCCGCAAAATATTCGGTATTCGGCGTGTGGCCGAATATACTATTCGTTGCAAATCTAGTTTTCATACACTTCATGTATTGCAAAACGGCTCGTAACGGAAAACGAAGCGTTTCTAAAATATAAAAACTCAGCATAAGTAACGCCTGTGATGGTAATAGTCAAGAAATCAATAACCATAACATCCCTGTGTTGCGGATATTTGCTTCCGCAATAACAAATGCGGTGATTTTGCGGATACGAATATTGTACATATTGCGACAAGAAATTGGATAGTTACCAGCAGTGGTATGTATCGTGCGATTTTATGTTACTTATGAATTTTAAAATTTTCGTCCCTTCGGTCTACATTATTTTCCAGCAACAAATTTTGACATTATCTGACTCAATTATCAATGATATCGTTATTTTGCTGCTAGCTTGATATAAAGATATCAGTGACTTATTTTCATAGAACTAGTTGAAGCTTTTTTTTATAGGATAAGGGTGACAAACGAGCACACAGTCCACCTGATGGTAAGTGGTTGCTGCGGCCCATAGACATCTACATCTATCCTCGTTTGCGAATCAAAATGCAGATGCGTTGTCACCCGTGATGACTAAGATGGAATGCCTCATTTCCAGTAAAAAGGGCCTCCGGCCACCTGCACTCACCAAGCGAAACGCAGAGGTAAACATTTACTTCACGCTGGTTTTCTGTGAGGTCGTGGTACCACCCCGGTTCGAGCCGGCCCATCCGTGCGACAGCAAAAGCTGCCGCGTGGCTCTACCACTGTTAATAGACAGAGTTTAAAAAAATCAGCATAACTCTCAAGCACTACTGGAACTTTTTCTATTGTACAGATGTAATTACTTTTGCGTGTTTTATTTCAATCGATGAAACGGTTTACAATACGTGCGTAACTTCAAAAGCGACTTCAAAAATGAGGAGGTTCTCAATTCGAGTTATGTTTTTTTTTAAATTTATTTTTTGTATGTTTGTTACGCGATATCTTCGCAGATTGTGAAGCGATTTTAATGATTGTTTTCTTATTAAACATGCTTTACCTTAAGGGTAGTCCCATTAAATTTTGAAGAAAACATTCTGCCACCAATGGTGGAAAACAGGGGAAAAGTTTTATATTGGACTTGGAATTTCGTATGATATCTTCGCAGATTGGGAACCGATTTTAATGTTTCTTTTTTAATTAAACAGGTTATACTTTAAAGGGGACTAATATAAATTTGGAGGAAAATTTCCATCCCTAAGATTAGCAAATAAATAACTTTTTTTTGCAATATGAAGTCGGTTTTATACGTGGTAAAGCCATGCTGCAGCTATGTTATAGTTGTAGTACGAATAGGTCGGCTCGAACGGAGAAGGACCACGCTCTCACAGAATACCAACGTAAAATAGCAGCTTAATGCTGCTGTGTTTCGTCTGGTGAGCGTAGAGAACCGGAGACCCTTTTTACTGGAAACGAGGCATTCCATCTTATTCCTCACGGGTGACAACGCTTCTGCATTTTGATTCGCAAACGTGGATAGATGTAGATGTCTATGGGCCTCTATATAAAGTTATTAGTATTAGTATTTATCAATCGAAGGCCAATTACGACTTCCGTGACTCTTTTTATCGCATGTGCGATCTAGTAATTAACTTTTTTTAAAATAAGATACTACGCTACCAATATTACTAATAATCCAGTTAAAGTAAGCTTAGAATGCTTGTGTAGGGATTGGTTCACCACAGTAGTCGAATGGTGGAACGGTTCGAAATTTTTCCATTAGGCTATTGTCGGTGCTTTACAACTTACTTTTAGTATTTATTCTAAATATTTTTTCAGGCGTTCGGCATTCAAACATTATCCGGAACAGGAGGTCTCCGAGTGGGCTCAGAGTTTCTCAACAAACACCTTAAATACACTACGTTTTATTACTCTGATCCAACATGGGGTGCGTGTGATTATAAGTTCTACTTATTATTTCATCTGTTGCAGGGACAACAGAATAAAATTAATTCTACGGATTTTATCATTAACTTTTTTTAAGTCGACAACATACATAGTCACGGAGCGAACGGGTGGGGGGGGGGGGGGAATGACGACTGAAGTGTTCTTCTTTCTTTTTATGGCGGTTTTGATCATCAGTGAATTAGTGAAATTGTTTATTGAGCAAAATAGCTCAGCAGTTACAAAAACAATCATTTATCTTTATGACAATGTGCTTTTTATATCATTTAGATGTTCAATATGATTGTTAGATACGATTTTATGCGACAAAATGTTGAAGTCTTGATTTTTAGGCGCTAGTAGAACATACCTTTGTGCTTACGACATGCACTACTATGTTCATGTACCAAAGAATATTGTGATAATACAAGTATCTTTTTTAAACCAATTTTTTTCTATTTATGTAATTCTAATGATTGTACTGTTGGATTGCCTAGAACAAATGGCAAACACAGTTGTAAAAGCTACATTAGTATGTTAGTTATTGACAAACATTAAAGTCTCATGCTATTAGTGTTAATGAAATCACACAGAATATATGCAAAAGGTGAGTTTGAGTAGGTTAAAAGCGAATCAAAATTTATAGGAGGTATGTCAGGAGGGAGATCATAGAGTGAACAAAATAATTGAGGACAGTTAAAAAATATGGTCGGTGGCTCCCTCATCTAACCCACATTCACAGAGGAGACCGACTGAAGTGTTTGACGTCCTGATGTCATAGTTAACGAAGGTTACCTTCAACTTTTAATTTTTAGTCGGATCTACGCAAATCGTTCTGCGTAGATCGAACCAAAAATTAATTATTACTAATTGGATTGGATCGGGATGTTAAACACTTCAGTCCCCCTCATGACCATGGTTGACGTAAAGTGCCCAAAACGTCGGGAATAAAAAAAAAACTAAAATAAATACGATAAAATCCGTAAAATTAGTTTTATTTCATGTTGTAGTATTCACGTAAATATAAGAAAATTATGTTCTTCCTGTGTTAAGTATTCGCTAAATAAATGACTTGATATTTTAAATGTCCACATATATCAGTACTGTTATACATTTTTTATGATATGTGAGTGGCACACTACCTAACGGTCTACTTGATAGTATATGATGAGTATAAGTACTGTACCCTATAGATATCTGCATCCAACTTTGAATAACGACTTCTGATGCATTCGACATTATACTGATGATATACCGCACGTCAAATTGAGTGAGAATAGATTGGCTCTCCAGCATCTTGAAAAATTTCAGAAAGTGGGTGGAAAATCGGCTTCGTGACACCAAATATAACCTTGTATAACCAAATATACCCTAGTCCCGCCACTGCTTCAAAACTGGTTCTCATTGCGCCAGTACCTTTTTTCAACCGACTCCAAAAAAGGAGGAGGTTCTCTATTCCTTACGTCAGAACTTTTTTCTAGGTGAACCGATTTTGATGGTTCTCATGTAATCCCATATAAATTTCATCAAGATCTGTCCAGTAGTTTTTGAGTTATCCTTAACAATGCGTATTTAATTGACTTCGGACTACATTGATGATGTTCTTCTCATTTTCGGAGTCAGTTGTACGTGAAATCTTATATTTTCTTTAGTAAATAATCTTTTCACTTTGCTCTTTTATAGAAGTCAAGTCATCAATCGGATTTTTGTAAATAATATGCCACTTTTTGCGTTTTTAATTAAAGAGAACCACCACCTCGTGTTCATGAACTCTGGCTTCACGACACCGCGCACGTACCGCTACTGGGACCCAAAGACCCGCGCTATCGACTTCGACGGTCTCATTGAAGATCTTAAGAATGCACCAGAAAACTCTGTGATAATCCTACACGCATGCGCACATAATCCAACTGGTATCGACCCGACGCACGAGCAATGGGAGAAGATCGCTGACGTTATGGAGGTGAGAAGGCTACCATATAAGATACTATTTTTTCAATATATAATATATGTAGGCGCGTCTACTAAATACTGGCCAGATTCAGAGTGAAGGTTTTTACTCTAGCGAAGCATCTGCGGAAAACTGGCAACCGTTGTTGTTTGGAGGATTATTGACATTTTTGAATTTCAAAAATCCTCCAAAAATTTTTAAATTTAACATCATCGGGAAAGCGTACCATATATTTGCGACGAATTACTAATGATCTGTTGATTCTATTTTCTTGTGCTTTATATTGTAACGCACCATCCATCTTGAGTGCATCTGGGATGATCCCCTTACGTCCGTAAAGAAGTTTCATTACAATATTATAAATCTAATCAGTTGCATTGTTATTTTATGAACTATCTTCACATTTCCTTGCCAAAAATACATTAGCAAAAATTCGCATAATCTACTGCGAATGCGAATATTCGTTCCACCACTCATCTATACATAAAAATAAAATTGAAGTTTCTGTCTGTAATATCGAAATATCTGCCTTTTTTTATGCGAACTTAGAGGGCCTATTGAGGCTTATTTGCATGCCAATAAGATGAAAACCACTTTTAAAATGAAATATCTGTCTGTCTGTATGTCTGTCCGGGCTAAACTTCGGCATGACTCGACCGATTGTAATGAAAATTGACGAACAGATAGATAAAGAGCAATGCCAAAAGTGATCTAGGCAGATATTTTATACAAAAAAAAAACTTGGAGATTTTTAGATTTTGAATAATTGTTAAAATAAATGAGTTTTGATGATATCTTAAATCTGAATGACGCCACATAAATAGATCGATACGAAGTACGGCTCGCTAGTAACTAATAATGTTAGGTATGCGGTTAAGATAAACTCGTCTCATAATGTAATTAGTAAAATCGTAAAACTATTTTATTTTTAATCGTAATGACAACGAGTAAAAAAATAAACAGTAACGATAGCGATTTCATGAGACGAACAAAACACGAAAACAAGGCAAAAAAACAACTTGTTGTTTTTGTTTTAGAGCACATTTAGTTGATAGAATAAACAAATTAGCGACTACAAACACTACGCTACGCAACAGCATTCAGCTGCAATTTTACGCTGGTGTTTTGCAAGAGCGTGGTCCTTCCCCGGTCGAGCCGACCCATTCGTGCTACAACTATAATATAGCTGCAGCATGGCTCTACCACGTACCACGTATTCAGTGCGAGATAACTATCTTAGAATTACGACATCTTAAGAGAAGAACTGTTTAAACGTTGACCTGAATAAAAAAAAATAACACAGTTTCCATTATTTATCTATTCTTTATTATTCATCTTACGACATTCTTGACCACTTAACACTGGATGTTTTAAGAAACTGTGGCAGGTGCAAACAATGCATTTATTAAATACGAGTATTTAATAAAATTATTATTAATAAACCTAGCAAGCTAACAGCATAGCAAAGTGGCGAAGCAATCAGCTTTGTAGCGGTTTCTAACGGTTGCCGTTGAGCAATCAGTTTCAAAATAGGAGGTTCAGATGCCTGGGTGATCAGTAATCGATTGCTGAAAACAGAATTTGAAAATTCAAAACCGTTCTCGAGATAATCGTGGGACAGACGGACAGACATCGTGAAATCAATAAGTGACTTCGCAAGCTTCGCCACTTAATAAGTTAACGATTTTAGTTACAGAGTATAACGTTTATCAAAAAAAGTGATAAAGATATAAGATACAGTGGAATGTAGATAAATAGTATAATTATAGTAAAACATACCTGCTTAATATCTTATCTACAAGTAGTTATAAATGAAACATATAGTATTATACAATAATAATATTATTATTTCTCATTGTATTGCCAATAAGAGATTGAAAACGTCGTTAAAACATCTGCATAATACGAGTATAACCTTTATATATAAAAATTACGTGTCACATTGTTTGTCCGCGATGAACTCTTTAAACTACTGAACTGATTTCAATGAAATTTTGCACACTGTGTGCAGTTTGGTCCAACTTGAGAGATAGGATAGTTTTTATCCCGATAAGTGACCCTCAATATTTTTTATTGGTAATTTAAGGATTTTTATAGGACAAAGTCGGAGAGGGCAGTACGACGTCTGCCTGGTCAGCTAGTATATATTTAGAACAATCTTGAAAGTCGAAGTGACACAAAGCTTCCGACGTTATTAGATTCGTTATTACATTATCTCGACAAATTTTGAAAATGTGGGGATTTTGGGGCTGTTGTCGGGAGAAATAAATATGTGCGTGGAAATGTATATGTGTGTATTTATTTTTTAATTTAGGAAGTCACAGAAAGTACTAAGAACATTTAATTTTTAGTTTGCCACATGTATTTACACATGTATTTACCATTGTAGTATTCAGAAAAGGTTTAAAATTTAAACAATTTACTTCAAAGTTCAGTCTATTTTTTTTTCTGTTTTTAAAACGTTATCCCCACACTAGGATTTTCTCCTGTATCGTAGAGGCAGTTTACAAACATAAATTGCACAAGGACAAACATCCAGACCCGGAACAATTATTTGTAGGCTGTACAAATACTTATTCCCTGCGGGATTCGAACCCGCGGTCTCCAGCGCAGCAACTCATTGCTAAGCCACTGCACCACGGAGCCGTCTTTAACTATTGTATGTAATTACTAACTCGGCTTTTATTAAATCTCAAAGGCCATACGTTAACTTTCCGAGAAGCTGTTTGTCTGGAGATTTTGAGTTTCGTCAGGAGTCTGGAGATCATTTAAAATGTCGAGAGAATCCAGACGAATCCCGACTATCTGGCAACTCTAATTGCAGTCTCCAAAATAAGAAAATTTCTTTTTGCGATGTGCATTCTCTAACATTAACATTTAACATATTTTATATTATAAAAGGTAAACTTCACAGTACACGATCAACTCTGGTTGGATCCCTGTCGACAACAATTAGATTGTTAATTGGATTTGTTGAATTACCACGTGGTTGGCGGTGAAGAAAAACATCGTGAGAAAGCCGTCTGACCACGAGAGACCATGTCTTAAAAATTAAAAAAAAATATTTCGAATACATGAGAAGTCCGCCAACACGCATTGATAAAACATAAAACCCTCTCAGGAATGTTACACATTTGTAACATAAAAATTATAACCCGTAACTAGTGAGTGAACGCAAATAGAACTGCCTTGAATAATCCAACTCCAACATATCTCAAGGATAAATGCGAGTATCTCTCTTCAAGTCATGATAAGGTTCTTTGCTCCTCACAGTGGAGTAGTGTGCCTTAGAGGGGCCCTGTATCAAAATTTGTCGGGGGGCCCAAATTAAGGAGAAATATTTTTCACAAAAGGAACAATAACTCTCGCATTAAATTAAAATAATTCTATATTGATTATATGTTATTACTTACAATTAATACTCCTAGGAACTAAGGTAGCCAAACTATTCTAACCAACATCCTGTCCCATAGAAGTCCTTAGAATTTTTGCTTATACACGTTTGGGACTCCTGTAGCCTGGGGCCCCGTATCATTGATACGGCTAATACGGCGCTAGCTACGCCCCTGGCTCCTCATCTTATCATGAGGTTAGTATTCCATCTCAATTCACTGGGTTCACCAACAATTCCTTTACTATTTAGGCATCACTACTTTGGAACGCCTAGCTCGAAGACGTAAGAAGAGCGCCGAGTAAGGGTGTTTTAAGTTGTTAGTATCATATATGACTTCTTCTTGAAACAAAGCTATATTGGACTTTAAGAATGTTTTATTATTTGCAATTTATATATATATGTATAATATAATATAATATATTTTGTATATTATATGTAGTAATTGCACCTGCATAAAATCTCATCACTTTATGGGTCTATGGGTTGACAGGCAGAGCAAGCCGATAGTCATTAAGTCAGCTCTTTGTTACACTATTTATTAAGGTGTTAACAATAAAGATTAAATAAACGTACCCTCTCTCCCAGGAACGCAAGTTATTCCCGTTCTTCGACAGCGCGTACCAAGGCTTCGCGTCGGGCGATCTAGACCGGGACGCGTGGGCGGTGCGCTACTTCGTTAAACGGGGCTTCGAGCTTGTCTGTGCGCAGTCCTACGCCAAGAACTTCGGCCTTTACAGTGAGTCCACCAATCTGTTTGCTCCTAGGATATTTATTTTTAAAACTGATGTGACAAAAGAACTTACATTCTGCATGATGGTAAGTGGTCACTGCAGTCCATGGATGCAGCCAACTTCAAAAAAAAAGGGCTGCAGATGCATCGTCACCTCCGAGTATTAAGATGAAATACCTCTGTGTGCTCTTAGTTATACTGAGTCACTATACCCTTCTGACCGGAAAACAACAGCTCTGCTATTTAGTGCCAGAAATAGGTAAGAGGGGGGGGAGGGTACCTACCAAGATGGCTTAGTAACGTAGTCCTACCATCTAGATATATAATAACCGGTACGAGTGATAGACCTCATTTAAATTTACGTGGTAGAGCCATGCTGCAGCTATATTAGTAGTATAGTTGTAGCACGAATGGGTCGGCTCGACCGGCAAAGGACCACTCTCTCACAGAAAACCAGCGTAAAATAGCAGCTTAACACTGCTGTGTTTCGTATGGTGAGTGTAGATAACCGGAGACCCTTTTTACTGGCAAAGAGGCATTACATCTTAGTCCTCACGGGCGACAACGCATCTGCATCTTGAGTCTTTATTGAGGATAGATGTAGATGTCTATGGGTCACAGTAACCACTTACCATCAGGTGGACTGTGTGCTCGTTTGTCACCCTATCCTATAAAAAAAATATCAAAAATATTTGATGGAATCCTCAATTTGTGCTATATCAAATGTATATCGTTTAATTTATCCAATACCTTGCATTTACTTGTATTATGTGACAGTTATAAAACTGGATTAGTGTGCAATAGGAAATATTTACACATACATAGCTACACATACATGGCTTGTAATCCTTTAGGGTATAGGCAGAGACAAAAGAGCAGCGAGCTACTTAAACCAAGTATAGACAAAAAATTAGTTTAGACAAAAAATTGTGAAACAATTTATAGGCTAGTCTCAATAGGCTAGCCTACACAGTCACAAACCTAATATACCATTAGTCGCCCTGTACGACATGCTAGGCTGTGCTCTCACTAAGCAATGTGGTTAGCCTTAGTTTACCTTGCAAGTGTTGCTTGACAACTGACACTTTCTTGGATATATGTACATCCAACATCGGACTTAAAATGTTATTGATGTGTGTGTGAATATTACTTACAGATAATATGTTATTAAAGAGATAACGATTCCATATAAATGTTTATTTCTGGGTAGTTGACCCCTTACAAATATAGCAAAAAGAAGTAAGAGATTCTTCTGAGAATAATACAATAACCATCCAACATTGAATTGTCTGAATTATGTGGCAATGTTCACACAAACAAGCCTGATGGTTAAAACAATAATTGAAAAAATACCTGACTGCATAAATAAATTTAAGCCCTACGTCACTTATCTAAACGAAAATTCATCAAGCCGTTTATGCTAGTGTGCAAAAAAAAACAGACATACACTCAAAAAACAAGTTGTGTATCGCTAGCAACGCAAAGTCGGGGATTTGTATTTGGAAAAATCCAAAATTAGGGGCTTCTTAGGTGCTAATTAGGTGCCAAGTTTAAAAATTAGGTGCTCTAAAATTTTCACCGCAACGAACTGTTGAAATTTGCGTTGCTAGCAAAACGTCTCGCTAGCAACGCAATGAAGTTATTAGATATACGATAAATATTAATAGCAAGGAATTAAGTGCTAAATAGGTGCTGCAAGTATACGCAATGACAAGGCGCCCCTAATAAAAATAAAGTCATTATTCAGAACATAGCAGATGCAAAATTCAGATTTCCTGAAAATCAAAATACAATCAAAATTGCTTTCAGAAAAAGTTCAAATTAGGGGCTTTTTAGGTGCTAATTAAGTACCAAGTTTAAAAATTAGTTGCTCCAAAATTTTCACTGCAACGAACCATTGAAATTTGCGTTGCTGGCAAAACGTATCGCTGGCAACGCATTGAAGTTATTAGATATACGATAAAAATTAATAGCAAGGAATTAAGTGCTAATTAGGTGCTGCAAGTATATGCAATGACAAGGCGCCCTATAAAGTCGTTATTCCAAACAAAACAGATGCAAAATTCAGATTTTCTGAAAATCAAAAAATAATCAAAAATGCTTTTAGAAAAAGCCCAAAATAAGGGCTTTTTAGGTGCTAATTAAGTACCAAGTTTAAAAATTAGGTGCTCTAAAATTTTCACCGTAACGATCGATTGAAATTTGCGTTGCTGGCAAAACGTATCGCTAGCAAGATATACTAGATATACGATAAACATTAATAGCAAGGAATTAAGTGTTGATTAAGTGCTGAGCGATTATCGAAACCCGATACAGATTAAGATATTATTCTGGGAATTATGGGGTCCACGACCACCATTACCTTACCATAATGTATGAACGGTATTTTTTGTTATTTGTCAGTACCTAAAAATTAAATGCTAATTAGGTGCTGAAAGATTATTGAGGTCGCATGTAAATGACGGTAATATTCTGGAAATTATCGGATTCAAAACCACAATTACTATAAGGTATGAACGGCATTTTATGTTTTTCAGATTTAATATAATCTATAATATTATTTAATATAATTTTCAACTAAATAAATGTTACTATTCTTATTTTTAGACAGGTGAAGCCTAAACTTTAGTGTACTAAATCGAAAGGATATTTTCTTTCCAGTAAATAGCTTTGTAATAAATAGCGCCATCTACAACGTTCTATAGTTCTAGTCATTTTATCGAATCAAAATCGATGGACTATCAAGGTGGTAAGTACGATAGACGCTAGATGGCACAAACACAAAGACCTGATTTTTGCATTTGGTTTACTGAATAATTTTCTTAATAACGATTTTATTTTTATCTGGGGCGCCTTGTCATTGCGTATACTTGCAGCACCTAATTAGCACTTAATTCCTTGCTATTAATATTTACCGTATATCTAATAACTTCATTGCGTTGCCAGCGATACGTTTTGCTAGCAACGCAAATTTCAATCGATCGTTACGGTGAAAATTTTAGAGCACCTAATTTTTAAACTTGGTACTTAATTAGCACCTAAAAAGCCCTTATTTTGGGCTTTTTCTAAAAGCATTTTTGATTATTTTTTGATTTTCAGAAAATCTGAATTTTGCATCTGTTTTGTTTGGAATAACGACTTTATAGGGCGCCTTGTCATTGCATATACTTGCAGCACCTAATTAGCACTTAATTCCTTGCTATTAATTTTTATCGTATATCTAATAACTTCAATGCGTTGCCAGCGATACGTTTTGCCAGCAACGCAAATTTCAATGGTTCGTTGCAGTGAAAATTTTGGAGCAACTAATTTTTAAACTTGGTACTTAATTAGCACCTAAAAAGCCCCTAATTTGGACTTTTTCTGAAAGCAATTTTGATTGTATTTTGATTTTCAGGAAATCTGAATTTTGCATCTGCTATGTTCTGAATAATGACTTTATTTTTATTAGGGGCGCCTTGTTATTGCGTATACTTGCAGCACCTATTTAGCACTTAATTCCTTGCTATTAATATTTATCGTATATCTAATAACTTCATTGCGTTGCTAGCGAGACGTTTTGCTAGCAACGCAAATTTCAACAGTTCGTTGCGGTGAAAATTTTAGAGCACCTAATTTTTAAACTTGGCACCTAATTAGCACCTAAGAAGCCCCTAATTTTGGATTTTTCCAAATACAAATTCCCGACTTTGCGTTGCTAGCGATACACAACTCAAAAAACATGAACCACTTACTGGGTGCAGTTGCTTAAAAAGAAAACAGCGTGTCAGTTGATCTTAAACTTGGGATACAATTAATTTTGCGATTTTGATTAATTAACTTTTATTTTAGAAATAGGGTGACAAACGAGCACACAGTCCACCTGATGGTAAGTGGTTGCTGTGGCCCATAGACATCTACATCTATCTTCGTTTTCGAATCAACATGCAGATGCGTTCTCAGCCTTGAGGACTAAGATGGAATGCTTCTTTTCCAGTAAAAAGGATCTCCGGTTCTCTACACTCACCATACAAAACACAGCAGCATTAAGCTACTATTTTCCCCTGTCGAGCCGACCCATTCGTGCTACAACTATATTATAAATATAGCTGCAGCTTGGCTCTACCACGTACAAAAATACACATAACTTGTTTTATTTTGCTAGATGAGCGTGTGGGCAACCTAACTATTGTAATGTCGGACGCGAAATACGTGGCCGCGACGAAATCGCAGCTGACATGGATTGTACGCGGAATGTACTCCAACCCGCCCGCACACGGCGCCCGAGTGGTCGCCACCGTGCTCTCCAACAAGCAGCTCTTCGACGAATGGTACTGTCGTCTTATTATTTGAATAATTTATACTCCTATTTTTATTTTCATCTGTTTTTTTTATTTGTTTTTTTTTAATGTTACCACCACACTAGGATTTTCTCCTGTATCGTGGAGGCAGTTTTCATACATAAATTGCACGAGGACAAACATCCAGACCCGGAACAATTATTTGTAGGCCATACGAATGCTTATTCCGTGCGGGATTTGAACCCGCGACCCCTAGTGCAACTACTCATTGCTAAGCCACTGCTCCACGGAGCCGTCATAAAGCCGTTTTATATCTGACAAATGGCACAGTCGATGCGACATTATTGCAATATGTTGTACTCCAACAGTCAGTTTTTCTACGAATGCTATAGTCGCGTAATTATGTTATAAGTTACAGCGCAAAAAGTCTTGACTGCCTCATTGCTCTAGTAGCGGTCATAAGCGTGGATTCTTTTTTATGGAATACTAGCAATCCGCCCAGGCTTCTTTATCTTTATTTATGGATCTCTACAATAGAGCCACCTACTGGGTCCAAATGTGAATCTAAACCATCTAGCGACCCATTCAAACACACACACACACACACACACACACACACGGGCGCGCGCGCGCACGCACGCACGCACAAAAATTCATCAAAATCGGTTGTTTTTGAGTTTTAGCAAGACTAACGGACCGAAATTTATTTTTATATATATATTTTTTTAAAAACGTTACCCCCACACTAGGATTTTCTCCTGTGTCGTGGAGGCAGTTTACAATCATAAATTGCACAAGGACAAACATCCAGACCTGGAACAATTATTTGTAGGCCATACAAATACTTGTTCCGTGCGGGATTCGAACCCGCCGCCGCAAATATAGGGTTAAAAAGGAAGTAAGTAAAAGTATATAGATGTTATGGCCTCTAGACGACATCTACATCAGATGTGTTGTCACCCTGGAGGACTAAGATGGAATACCTCGTTAGCATTAAAAACGGTCTCCGGTACTCTACACTCACCATACGAAACCCTGCAAATTTAAGCAATCTGCTGTTGCATGCTGGTAGCTGGTAGCTTTAGATATACAGTGAGAGCATGGTCCTTCTCCGGTGAAGATTACGTATTCGTGCTACAACCATAATATAGCTGCAGTTTGGCTCTACCAAGTCAAAAACGGACTGTTCAAGCATCATGACATGATGTCATGTTCATGACATTCTGTCTGAATTTGATGATGTCACAAGTTAATTGGAGACATATTCCCAGCTGTGCAGTGTTTACTAGCTAATAAAATAGAATAGTTTCTTAACAATAGTATCTTTTTTACAGGCGGGATCACATTAAATACATGTCTTCTAGAGTCATTCAGATGAGAGAGGCGTTAAGATCAGAACTAATCAAGTGAGTAATCCTTTTATATCTATATAAATAAATAAAATTGGAGTGTCTGTTTGTAACGTCAAAATAACAGCTTTCTACTAAATGCATATGAAAGTATATATAACAAAAAAACAAATTTTAAAATTTTTGTCTCTTTCGGCTAATCTTCGAAACGGCTGGACCGACTTTGACGGGATTTTCACTGGCAGATAGCTGATGTTATAAGGTGTAAATTAGGCTACTTCTCCGCGCAAAAGAATTAAAACCCATGAAATCCAATCGTAAAAAAATTCACGCGAGCGGAGTCACGGGGAACAGCTAGTTATAAATAAAATTCACCATAAATGAATAGAAATACGAAAGTTTTTTGCAGGTGGGTTAGCAACCGTATTTTTTTTTAAATTTTGTATTATGATCAAGAAGACGCTGCTGCCTATCTCCTGTTTTATCTCCCTTTTTCAGCTTTTACTACTCACTGTTGTATCCATATGTTGTATTAATTATCATCAGGTGGTCTCGTCTCGGAAGCTCGTTTTGTACTTGAATGTTACAGTAAAATCCGTTTTCTACGACTTCGTCTATAACGACCAACCGTTTTATGCGACGTAGATGCAGTCAAGTTAGACTTTCATGCCACTTCCTTGAAAATACATCCGTTTAGTACGACTCCGGATTAAGCATCCAACCGCTTTGAGCGAAGTAATTTACTAAAAAATCGTCCGGTTAAGACGACGCGGGTTTTTAATTTGTTTGCAAATTAGGCATGGGCATAAAATATAGATATATCGAAATATCGATATTTTTATTTTATATCGTTGATATTTTAAAACGCGATATTTCGATAAATCGATATTTATTTTAGAGTATCGAATTCGTATCAATTTCGATATATTTTAAAATGTTGTATCGTATTTTTCGTCGTCCAACCATCAGTAAATAAAATTTTTGACCTTATCTTTACATCATGCAAATGTTGACGATATATCGATATTTTTCACGCGATATATATCGATATATTTTTTTCCCTTGCCCATCCCTATTGCAAATAACTCGCCGTCCCTGCTCGCTCCCCTCCCCGACGCACGTTTGATTGCCCGCGTAAATCAGTAATTTAATTAAAAATAAAAATTATGAATTTCATTTAAGTTTAGTATATACATAAAGCTATTTTCAATGACATATATTCATTACATGCATATTAATTATGTTATCAAAATTATAGAACATATATATTTAATATAAAACAATTGTGAATAATTTGTCCGTTTAGTAAGTAGTCCGGTTAGTACGACACACGTAGCGGGTGTCTTGACGGTCGCTTTATCCGGATTCTACTGTATATGAGAGAGCAGTGCTTAAATTCTTGACACGCACTCACGCGCACTTCTTTCGTACTAAGTATAGTAGTCCGGAATAGTCCACTGCTGGATGCACACATAATATGCATATAAAGCCATGTTCTTGATTGCAAATTATAATAAATAGATCCATATAATATATGTGTATGTGAATGAGTGTTCTTACAATAACTTGAGCATGGGTTTTAGGCATGATGGTTTTGCAAAACGCCTACAGTGTACTAGCAATTCCACTGGCATTGCAGTTATTCTTGGGCGGCGGTAGTCACTTAGCAGGTGAACGGTTTGCTCGTTTGCCTTCACTTTTATAAAAAAAAAAACTACTTAACTTGATTACCTATACGCACTTTTTTTATCCATTTCTTTCTTTTATAAAATCGTAAATATACGATACGACTTAAAATATCAATTTTTACAGACTTGGCACTCCGGGCAACTGGGACCATATTGTTAAGCAGATCGGCCTGTTCTCCTATACGGGGCTGACACAGCGTCAGAGCGATTACCTCATCCAGGAGTACCACATATACTTGCTGCGCACCGGACGCATCAACATCTGCGGACTGAACCCTGGCAATGTGGAGTACGTCGCCAAAGCCATCCACGACGCCGTCACCAAGTTCCCCGCTGAACAGTAATTGAAATTTCGCTCTTGTATTGGAAATCTGCTTGAGCTATTTGTTAATATGATTTTTATGAAGAGAGTGTAATTTGTGCTATTGAAACCATTATTGTATCTAATTAAAAAAACGAATCTGTCGATGCACTACAGGATCATTATGGGATCAACTTTTTAAGCTATACATAAACATTTGACTTGATCATCACCATCATCATTACATCCTTTCAAAAGTCCACCGTTGAGCTTAGGGACTCCCCAAAGGAATACCAGAAAATAATCCTGAGCCGCCTGCATCTCTTACCTGGTCGTCACTCTATTTAGTGGGGGGGGGGGGGGGGGAGCGCTCTACACTTCGCTTTATAATTGTCGATTCTGCTAATTACGACCTTATGTTTCCTTGTACGACCATCAGTGAAGGACCACATCTCAAATTCGTATGTACTGGCAATACACTGTTTTTAGCACTTATAATCTTCAGTGTTCACTAATGTATGTAAAATGAAGAACAAAATTTTATATAAATTGGTAATTTATATAAAACCTTGAACTTGATGTTTGTTATTTCAAAAATATAAACTAATCCTTTTTTATTAGTATTTTTGTATAATTTTATTAGAAATGTAGATGTGGATATGGATACATCGAAGCTGGCAGTTTGCTTTGAAATATTTTCAAATCGCTCACGCAAATGACTCTTTGATTTAAAAAAATATATGCACATACGAATGCAAAAATAAATTGCACAGTCTTTATTATTCTTCTTGTATTAGAGTGAAATGTTATGCCTTGGTCAAAGTAATGTAAAATATTATACAATAACAATCTGTGTTGTTTTGATTTTTGCTCTAATATTGCTTAAAACACGCCATGAAAATGTTTGAAAACAATAGTAAAATTATAGCAAGCTAATTTTCATTATATTTGTTTACATAACATTATAATATACAATAGTTATTACAATAAAATTATGAAATGTCCACTTCCCATAGTATAGTGCCAAGAATGCTGGCTAAGTTCCTCACTGGGTGGCTTTACTTAGCCTTTAGGCTAATAAAGAACTAGCCCTCTTGTCTCCAGCGGCGACTATCAGTCGCGGATACCAGTAACTTTGGAATGGGTTAACTGTACGTGTACCTCACGGACTGAGTCTCTAATAGCAAATGGCAAAAATATATAGCCATATCAGCTCAGCGTCAGCAGTTCAGAGGCTCCTATTAAATTAATCTAGAAAAGTTTTATAATATTGTGTTTTTTTTTAATGAAAATTTTATTTATTTATTTTAAGATCACTAAAAACTTAGAAATTTTCAAATGTAGTATATTATGCTCCGATTAAAAAATCACAGCTAGTAGTATTTGATGAATTGATGTAATGCTAGGCCTTTGTATTCATTTTTGTAAACTTTACACAAATTTTAAAGTAAATTTTTAATAAACCCGGAAACATTTTCCAGTATTACGAGCTTTTAGTGCAAGCAATTGTAGATCAAATCATGAGGCAGGCATCCATAGATATATACATAGCATTTAGTTTATACAATGTTTTTTATTATTATCTACAAATTTTGTATGAGGTTTGAAATACATAATCTCATTTGTTAGAAATACTCTTTTATTTTATTTTCAAAGTTCATGCCAACTTTGTGAAAAAATGAAAAATTTCTTTTCAGCAATAGTCGGCCAAAGTTATGATGGATTTTATCTTGGATCTTGGACAGCTGCAAAGTGTTTGTTGATGTTACTTGGTTCATCATACATTACAAAGGTGTACAAGGTATATAGAATTGTGAAAAATATGGTTATGGTATTTAAAAAAATTTAAATGTTAAATTATATGACAGTCAAAAATATATTTTCTCATACTAAAGAAAAGTCATTGATAAATATAATATACATGTTTATTGTTATTACAAAATTTAACAACTATGTTTCCATTTCTTCACTTTCCACCATAGGAACTGTCACCGGCTGGCGTGATCCAAAACGATTGGTTACTGAAAGAGAATAATTAAACTTTTATAAAAAGTACAGACACTTAAAAAAATGTTGACATGGTAAAGAATGCTTCGCTCATTGTGCCTTTGAATATTGTACAATAATTTTCTCAAGGATCCCATCATCACATCTAGCCCTTTTTTTATATAGGAGCATCTCTGCGGTACCCCCTTTCAAGATAAATCATTGCAATCGGACAACATGATAGACATACATTAAAAAAGTATCGGCTAAACTAAGTTAGAGCAAAAAAAAAACCAGTCTTCATATGTGTAAAATTAAGATTTGCTAGAACTTTAATTTTTTAAATTAAAGCAATGTTAGGATATAAGTGTAGGTGTTCGTTGTTAATATGACAAAAACTGGTTCAGCTTCCCTCCGGTTTAATGATTGGTTGTCAGGTGACGCTAGAAATGACAACTCTGTGGCGCTAGTGACTTAGCAACGAGATGCGGCACTGTTCGAATTCTGCACGCAACGAATTTTTATATGGCCTACAAATAACTGTTTCGTGTATGGATGTTTGTGCTTGTGCAATTTATGTATGTAACGTAAAAAATAATAGTGTGGAGACTTCGTTACGGATCGACCCGGGTTCCGTACCAAACCGTGCAGGTTTTTTTCTTTTCCATTCGACTTCTATTCGACGTCTCTGTCCATTGTAATTAGTATAAGCAAAGGTGATGTAACAGCGAGGCTGTCCTATGTCGTTTGCTGTTGGTTTTCGCATACTTCGTTTATATTGGATGATATATTGTACTAGCTTTTACCCGCGGCTCTGCTCGCGTTTAATTAAAAACCGACCAATTTTTTATAGCACCATAGATTAAAAAGACTAATTCGGAATACTTAGATAAACTGTTTTATGCAAAAAAAAATATAGCCTATGTCATCTTTGTCGTTGATCGTGATCGTTTGTTATCTATAATATTGCAAAGTTTTATCAAAATCCCTTTCAGTAGTTTTTACGTGATTGAGCCACAAATATCCAAACAAACTTTGACATTTTATAATATTAGTGAGATTAACTTCCAATGCTGTCCATGACTATTTTTTAACGTAATGTCGTCCCCAAGTAGATATTTTATTATTTAAATAGTTGAGGGTATATCTAAATATAAACATATTTAATTTGCATTCACTGGGCTTTACCTTCTTCGCTAGCGGTGAGGTCGACTAGTTCGATGTGGCACTGCTTGTTGTCGCCGCCCACCGCAACAGAAAGCGGATCCTCGGGACAGGCGGCCGCGCACAGACACTGCCCCGTTCGGTTCGTGCGCTGGCTCACCTGCACCGGCCCAGTGCTGACCGCGAACGTAAACACAATTATTTTCGTAAAACAAGTGAAACAAAAAGTGACAAGCGAACGTAACAGTTCACCTGATTGTAGTGACTACTGCAGCCTATGGATCTCTACCTATCCTCGATTAAGAATTAAAATGCAGATGCAAGAGGTTGGTATATTTGAAATGAAAACTTCATTAGAATCGATTTGAAACTCGATGAAGCGAAAAAGCGACACTAAAAAGAGACAAACATACACATCTAGGATTAAGCTTGCGAGAAAATGGGACAGAATACAGTATACAGTGATTCCTATTATCTCGGTTTCATTTTCTGAGGGTTTCACTTCTACACACTTTTTTTTTATAGAATAAAGATGACAAATGAGTACATAGTCCAACTGATGGTGAGTTGATGCTGAGACCCATATATGTACATATCTACATTTATTCACGATTTAGAATGAATAAAAATGCAAATGCATTGTCACCCCTGAGGACTAAGTTGAAATGCCCCGTTTTCAGTAAAAAGAATCGCCGGTTCTCTACACTCACCATACGAAACACAGAAGCAAAAAGCTGTTATTTTATGCTGGTATTCTGTGAGAGCGTGGTCCATCCCGGTGGAACCGACCCATTCGCACTACATCCATAATACAGCTGCAGCATAATTCTACTTCATATACATAATATATCGTATTACCTGCAACTTGCGTGCAACTAAATTAAAACAAAAAATAATACAGAACAACTCACAGAATGTAATAATACTGCCTCTCTATACACTTCCGAACACATATTGCTACTTGGAGGCAGAAATAGATAACAGACGGACTCTGAAGCAGAAAGTGTCCCACAACTTAGAAAGTTTAAAAAAATTAAAATTGAGACAGATTTCATGGACAATCTTTTGAGTTTTGATACTAATCATTGTTAAAATTTCAGTTTAGACCATAGTATACACATGAATTTTGACATTTCTGTGTTTGGGTTTAAGTTCAGATTGTCCTTGAATACAGGTTTTACCACGGAGCAATTACAAAGAGATGGCTGATTATATTTTGAAATATGACTGTTTTTTAATATAAAAGTAAATAAATTTAAAGAAATCCAACCATTACAAACTATTAAAAGTCCACTGCTGAAAATAGATCTCCAAATAAATTAACCTCACGGGCCGGATATTTCCCATAGCAGCCATGATTGGCAAGCAGGTTAACATTTGTAGTTTTTTTTTAAATTTTATATTAGTTTAAATTGATACCAGGATGCCGCTCATCTATCCGGGTTAAACATCGCTAACTTTCTCGCTACAAGCTACTAATAAGAATTTTTCGACATAAAAAGCCAATAAGTAACTGATTTGGACCCAACTCGGGATTTCAACCTGGAACCATATTATGATCCACAGTCGCGTTTATGACGACTAGACCAACGAGGATAATACAAGTCATAATAAATAATGTATACGTTAATTATTATTATTTATTATATAGACAGCAATGTTATTTACATCTACCTCGGCCGTAGTGATTACATCTAAGAAATAAATTAAGTGTAGATTCCAAATTGACTAAAATTTATCATTTACCTACCTGGTTATGTCCCACGTCTTCAACTTGCCATCGGTGCTCACTGTGATCATTAGCCCAGGCACTTGATCGCTTAAGATTAACCCTGGAAATTGATAAACCTCTAGTGCGATTGCGTAACTCGCAAATCATTTCGCAACTGTGTTATGTTTCTTTATCCTTAATAAACTATAACAACTTTAAAAAACTTGTCTTGTAATCGAAACTATACTATGTGTGTAAGGGCTTAGCATTGTGTTGCGGCGCATAGGGCCGCGGGTTCAAATCCCGCACGGAACAAGTATAATATGTATGACCTACAAATTATTGTTCCGGGTATGGTCCTGCGGAATTCATGTATGTAAACTGCCTCCACTATTATTTTTTATAGGATATATTTTGTAGGAAATATTTGTTCCGTACGGGATTCGAACCCGCGGCCCTTAGGGCCGCAACTGATTGTCAAGCCACTGCGCCACGGAACCGTCATTTTTTTTAAAGGATAGGGTGACAAACGAGCACACAGCCCACCTGATGGTAAGTGGTTGCTGTGACCCATAGACATCTACATTTATTCTCGATAAAGAATCAAAATGCAGATGCGTCGTCACCCGTGAGGACTAAGATGGAATGCCTCTTTGCCAGTAAAAAGGGTCTCCGGTTCTCTACACTTAGCATACGAAACACAGCAGTGTCAAGCTGCTATTTTACGCTGGTTATCTGTGAGAGCGTGGTCCTTCCCCGGTCGAGCAAACCCATTCGTGCTACAACTATACAATTAATATAGCCGCAGTATAGCTCTACCACGTATAATTATAGTCTGTACTTAAAGCACAGCCAACATGAAGGTATATTGATGATTGGCATTGATTTTTTTTACCTGTAACTTCTTTTTCATGTGCATCTATCGTCCACAACGGCTCGTCCTGTCTGCAGTCAACATACGCCACTTTGCCTTCATTGTTACTCATCTGAAATTTATATTGTATTGTTTATTTTGCTTTATAGTTGCATTATACAAAATGCAAAAAAATAACGAACCGCCGAATTGACATATTTTTGCCGATCAAACAGAATTGTTATAGGACCCGGCGTTGAGTGTGTTGAGTGGGTTTTAAGGCGTGGAGACTCCGATACTAAGTGCCCGTGCAATGTCTTGACCCATGAATAAATCAGATATCATAGCCCGTCCCGGGTTATATAATTTTTTATGTCACGATTTAGAACGTCGGCTCGAGGGACCAATCGTAGGTAACTTAGCAAAATTTGTTAGTTGTACAATTAAGCCCACCGTATATAGAAAGAGTTAAAAGCTGTTTATTTTATTACAAATAGCAAGTTTCGTTTAAGTCATCTGTCGGGGGTGTGTCTGGCTGTTTGTTAAGTATCTTGAATTGATAACGTCCGAAATGGTAAAAAATTACTTTATTTAAAACAGTTACAAAAATGTTAATAAATTGTAATGAATGCACCCGCCACTGTTGCGTAACGAAAGTGCACTAAACAAATTGGCGGCGTTGCGCCAATTGCTGACAAAGGTGTTTGGTTTCACCGAACATCATCCGTCTTATTACAAAAAGTCGACAGCGACAGCATTTACTTACCATCAGGTGGACTGTGTGCTCATTTCTTATTCTATATAAAAAAACAGGGGTTTATTTAATATAAAAAAAAAAAAACTTACGGCAAAACAGAAGGGGTTATGCGCGTCCCAGACGACGCGTTCGATCTCTGGCCCCAGGGACCATTCCCGATGCGATGTGGGCGTCCTGCAGTCGAAAACACGCGCCAGACCATCGCACGCGCCGGCACATAACGTTTGCGCCTCGCGTGGGTGAAAACTCAACGACTGCACCTGTTCGACCATATTTGTTTACGTCAGTACAATCAGGCATCATTTCGCAAGATATTATCACAGTTGAGAGAAAAAATGTTCCATGTTAGTCTGGGACTTATAGGCCCCAAATTTATGTGGGACTTGTGACAAAAAAGAATGTGTCTACAGTTACTTGTCTAGCTTGTAGTAAAAGGCGACTAAAGGGATTTTGGGTTGGTGATTGTTCAGGTGATGGACTAACCACCCATCTCTTCTTTCACATATTTCCCTCTTAACCCATTTTTAGGGTTCCGTACCCAAAGGGTATACAACGGGACCCTATTACTAAGCCTCCGCTGTCCGTGCGTCCGTCCGTCTGTCTGTCAGCGGACTGTATCTTATCCGTAATAGGTAAGCAGTTGAATGTTGAAAGAATGTGTATTTCTGTTGTCGTTATAACAACAAATAATAAAAATTTAAAGGGGCTCCCCTACTAGAAACGTATATTACTATGGTACGGAAACTTTCATGCCCGAGTCCGACTCGCACTTCGCCGGTTATTTTTGCTAAAAATGGTTCGAGTGGTTCAAATGCTTCTTCCGTAGTGAAGTGACGACGTAAGAGAATTCCCTACCTCATAATTATTATCCCGTGGGAGCCGTAAGAGGTGACAGAGAGAAAAGAAAGTTGGGTACTGGACTGCAGCATCTGTTTCATACTAACTCAAAATAATAAAAACTGCAGTAGCAAACCCACCTGCCCAGCGAGGCAATTAAGGCATAATCTCCCTTATAAAGCAATCTATGCAGAGGAGGCCTGTGTTCGGGTAGTGGACTTTTACAGGCTGTAATGCATGGATGTACGGAACTTTTACACAATACAAAGAAAACATAAGTCAATCGGTAAAACAAAACCAAACACGATTCCGAACAGAGAACATAATGATGTTATAATACGAACGAATTTCAATATCGGCGGCCAGACTCAACGTACTCTAGCCATTTGCGCAGGACAGGATTATAGTGCACGTGTCGCTCTCATAGTCTGATGAAGACTAGACAAACGAGGTTGTCATTATGCGACTGATATTGAAGCTATATTTGTTTTGCAAAAGAGAGCCGTTCGGGCGATTTACAACCTAAATTGTAAACAGTCCCTCAGACTAAAATTTAAAGAAATAAACATATTAACTTTGGCATCGCAATATATTTATGAAAATGTAATGTATGTACATAAAAACATAAATAGCTTTAATAAGAATAAGGATGTGCATACTTTAAACACTAGGAACAAACATAAGCTTGTAATACCAGTTACTAGACTCCACATAATCAGTAATTCATTTATGGGGCAATGTATACGCTTTTACAACAAAATCCCAGAACATATTCAAAGTTTGTCAATAAACAAGTTTAAAAGTTTTATTAAAGAAAAACTGTACAAAAAGGGTTATTATAATATCAAGGAATACATGAATGAAAATAACCCCTGGGAATAAGGTGATCGCCACCATGCTGGTTCTATGAAAAATTATTTAAAAATTGTATAAACGAAATTATGTTTGAAAAAAAAAGTCCCGCTGGGTTTCTTGCTGGTTCTTCCCAGGACAGAGGTATTTTCCGAACCAGTGGTAGATAAAAAATGACTTTCAATAAGAATTATGTAATAATCGATATTGAATAAAAAATTATTCTATTCTATTCATAGCGATGCGCCATTCATAGACAGAACATAGCCAACACTTTTTGTAAGTGGCCACCGGCATTTATCAGACGTCTTATGCGGAGGCCATTTTATTCCGGTGATTTTACTTTTAAATTACTTTGGTAGAGAACCTTATCACACGAACCAGAGACAAGATACCACGCGGTAATTTTTATTTAAAATCGTCTTTAAATTGTTGAATATGTCTTCAGGTTGACTTGAGTTTGAGCTAATTCGTAAATTTTCAAAATGAGGGCATCCACGACTTTTTGTGCCACCAGGGCGGCGCCACTAGAAAGTGAGGTATAATATTTGACAGATTTCATAGCGTGGAAGTTAATTTGATCGGAAAATGTAAAAGTTATTGTTTCTTTCTGTACTATTAGCTATATTTTAAATTAATAACATTAAAAATAAATAAACCAAACCATAAATATTCATAAAGGTAGAAAAGTTAAATAAAGTTAAAAATGTGCAAAAAAAAAAAAGAGTAAAAACCACTGAGGCATTGTTTTGTGTATTAACTATAATACTCTAGAAACTGATAAACTTTTATTAAAAACTAACTTCTCAATTAAATTATATTGCGTAACAAAAAACTTTACCTCAGAGTCAACTAGCGACATCTGGTGAGCAGAAAATTATTAGCCCTCATTATTATATATATTATATATTTAAACGTTAAGGCATTTGAATCCCGCACGAAACAATTATATGTCTGTCTGACCATAAATATTCTGGGTGCCTTATCCTTGTGCATATGTATGTAAACTGTCTCCCTAATAGAGGGTAAAATCCTAGTTAATGTAACAAGAGAAATACAATTGCTTTGGAGTTATTTTAACACTATTTTAATCTGAACTTACCTAAAATTACTTACTGAAAATACCAAATCTAGTTTTGCGTCTACGTTCAAGAGGCCCTGCATTCATGTAACTAAAAAAAAGTTAGCAGTAAATAATTGTTGGTAATGTTGCGCGCCACTATTAATGTCTTGTCTATGGCAACACTAGTTACACTAGCGCCCTCTAGTGTCGAGTAGCAGAACTAGGAGAGTCAAGATCCTTCCAGAAATTTCGGGACCGATATGTACTCGAACATACTAGATGTCGCTACAGTAGAAGGTTCTGGACACTATCTGAGGCCCTATATAAGGCCGGTATAGACCACGACCAAGGCAGTATTGAATTGGCGATACAAGCGAATACTTCGAAGCGAAATAACTGCGAACTAGTGATCAGTGGTAAAATTGTGTTTATTATTAGTGTGGTTTTAAATTCTAATTAGTGTTCTGTTATTAAAGTGTCAATTTTGGTAATTCAATCGGCAGTTTTTAATTGTCTCGAACCCCAAGCTCGTAACAGTAATAAAAGTATGACTTACTTTATCCTGAAAACAGTCGATCTTAGTGTGAGGCGTGCCTTGATCCAAGTCCCAGAGTAGTACCGTACTGTCGGCGGACCCGCTCGCTAACACGTGACTGCAAATATAACAATAAAATTTGAACAAAAAATCAGTTTTTGTATGTTAGGGTACCGTTTTTGTAAGAGACCTCTAAAAGAAAAAAAAATGACAGATCCACCAGGTTGTATATTACGGTTCTGTTGAAAAGCTATGCTGCCATATATCGGAAGCCATAAGATTTTCCTGGTATTGCCCTTAGTTGTCTCCAGGGACTTGAAACGTTACACGCAGTTCCAGTAACGATAATTCGTACCGTTCCACTAGGATCGTAACACAATTAATACCTTGGCTATAACAATACAAATGGAACGAAATCTACAACTATTTAATAACAATATTAAAAATATATCATTATTAATAAAAAGATATAAAACATCGTTATAAATGTAAAGATATAATATCGTTATTAATATGACGATATAATAACGCTATTTACTTCGATACGCAACGTTGCCAGCTAATTTCTTCACATTGAGCAAAATCTATATATTGTGATCTTGAGGGCTGCGGCTACGCTGCGCGTCCCTACTAGACTATTCCCGAGTGAATCTGTAACGTTTCACCCGTAACGATATTATAAGGGCATATAGGTATAACGTTACTGATACCTATAGCGTAACAAAAAATATTGTTCTACGAAAATGATATACTTTGACGTTATTTTCCATAACGTTATTGATAATTTTAGGTTTTAGTATCGTTACAAACTGGAACGTTATGAGATAACATTTAATGTAATGAAACGAAATTTTTATGTCAAATATAGTATTTTTGACACTATTTAAAAACATATGTTTCAAATTAATATTTTATTGTTAAATAAATATTTTTGCTGCTATAGGTTTTTATAAACTACCCACACACCATAATAAGCCTTTATTAAAATTAATATAGTAATTAAACACACTAGGATACTATATTAAATAGTAAGGTTGGCAAAACGGGAAAAAAGGGGTGATGAATTATTTTACGCCGGCACCACACGGCCCTGTACACACAGCACTAATATATAAATAGATATAATATCTGATATTGCATTATTGCAAAATTCAAATTTAAGCCTCACCATAACGATTACTGACCAAAATAGCTAGAAATTAAATTTGTATATTGTAAACTTACGTGAAATTCCTATTCCAAGAGAGATCTAACACGGCATCCTTGTGACCGATTCGTTTGGTTTTTTTCTTCTTGTTTGGTTTCTTGCCGAGTTTGAAAGCTGGTTCAAGGCAGTTTTCTATATCTATGTCCCAGACTTGTATCACTGGGTCCATACCACCAAGTGCACATAAGTTTCCTGTAGAAAAAAATAACTATTTTACACACTAAAATTGACTTATAAACTTGAAATCAAACCCTTACTGGAATTGTATAACGCAATTTTCATCCACTTACATCTGAATAATCTGAAATTTTGCAGATATATAAATACAAATCCAAATAGATTCTTTTATTAAATAAATAATACTTATCGAAAGTCATTGTTATGTTTTTGGCCGTGGCACATGCCACATGTTTATTTTACTTGTTTGGGACTGGTTCGGAAAATACTTCTGTCTTAGGAAGAACCAGCACGAAACCAAGCAAGACATTTACAATAATGTATTAGATTACTTATTAATCAATATTCCCATATTAGTGTATGGACAATACGCACTTGCCTTAAATTTAAAAATTAGTCAGTTAAAGTTTGATTCTCGACGCCATAAACTAAATTGCTAATAGCAATTTTAAGTGCTGAGATTCCTCATGTGCCAGACGGTGAAGGAAATCACGTGATCAAAGTTGCATTATATAGAGTTAAAAAAACATTTCAAGATCAAGTTGAGTAGTCTACCAACAATCATTAAGGCCACACGGCGGCTTTCGCTCTGCTCAAAACAATAAAAAATGAACCGAGATCAGCCCAGCAGTGGGACATAATATAGGCTGTTACTTCACTCTTGCCATTTTTATATTATTTACTATATTTTATCATTAAAAACTTACCAGGTTGTGGATCAGATGGATCATGACTTAGCCATTCGATACAAAGTGGAAACCAAGGGAGAATAATGTCATGATGTACATAGAATGATCCCTCTTCTTTATTGAATACTAAAATTTAAAAAAGCTGATTAGTATTAGGGCTCAGTTGTGAAATAGTACAACTGTCTACGCCGAGCATGTCGCTTCTTTATCTATATTTATTGCATACGAATTATATTAAGCCCACTAGCTCACACTTCTATGCAATACGGTCATACGGCACCACGCATAAGCCAGTCAATTCGAGCACCGGTCGAACAAGACTTGTTGTTTTACCGCCGACTTGTTTACGCGGTCACTCAAATTTTAACCAGCCTACTGTACATACACCTAAAAGAAATTGTAAATTTAATTCTACCAACGAATAAATTATTTTTATTCGCCTATTTCGTATTATTCTTGTTCTATCAAGAACACCAGCAAATGATTTTTTTTTTTATAAAACTGAAGCTACAAAGGAACTTACAGTTCACCTGATGGTAGGTGGTTATTGCAGTCCATGGACACCTGAAGCCCGCTTCAAACAAAGAAGGCTACGGATGCGTTGTCACCTCTGAGACTCTGAGTACTAGGATGGGATGACTCATAGCCTGTAATTAATTATTAATTGTACTGGCCCTTTATATCGGAACACAGCTGCACAAGCACAGCTCTTTCGCGGGAGAAATAGGTATTTGTAGGTAGAAAAATAGTCGCACCATTTCAGGTATATTCGGACGAAGTCCGCGCCTCAACTTATACAGAATGGGGTCCCACATATATTCAATAAATTAAACCGCATACTTGTTATCGCCTTTGCAGACGATAGACAAAAAATTAATGTAATCGGTCCAGTAATTAGGTAAAAAAGTAGATAAAACTAATTTTACGGATTTTATTGCGTACATTAATTTATTTTATATTCCGGATATTTCGAGCACTTTATAGCACCCATGGTCACGGGGGGACTGAGATGTATGACGTCCCAATGTCATAGTTAACCACGACTACCTCCAGATTAAAAATTATTAATTTTTGTTCCGATCTACGCAGTATCTTGAAGTCTTGAAGTTGTATGCTTGGGTTGGGATTTAATTTTATTAATTATAGAATCCCAAGCAGACGGTAGCACCCAGCCATCTTCTCTATTGAAATTCAATAGAGAACATGGCTGGGTGCTACCATCAATGAACTTGAATCTATGAACATTAAAAGTCACGTTGCCACGCAGTGCAAACTATTCCGACGTGAGACTATGTACGTCGTCAGCGGTGTCTTTTGGCGGCGTCCATAAACAAGAGCACGCGGCGTTCTTCAAAGGCGATGGCACAAATTCGTGCGCGCCATTGTAGTAGAGTAGGACAATTGTTATCGACCATTTCATTTCATCTTTCAAAGGGAGTAATGATCGATAAATAAAAAAATATGTTTAGCTTTAAATACTGTTACGAGCTTGGGGTTCGAGACAATTAAAAACTGCCGAGTGAATTATCAAAATTGTACAATTTAATTACAGAACACTAATTACAACTTGAAACCACACTAATAACAAAACACAATTGTACTACTGATCACTTTAGTTCGCAGTTGTATCGCTTCGCAGTATTCGCTTGTATCGCCAATTCAACACTGACCCGGTTGCGATCTATACCGGCCTTATATAGGGCTTCCAGAATCTTCTACTGTATAAACATCTAGAATATTCGAATACATACCGGTCCCGATTGACTAGGTGTCGATAGTTCTAGAAAGTTCTTCCATGGAAATTTCTAGAAAGATCTTGACTCTCCTAGTTCTGCTACTCGATACTCTAGGGCGCTAGTGGTAACTAGTGTTGCTATGTACCAGGCATTAATGATGACGCTCAACGCAGCCCCCTCCTAAGACATGCTCGTCCCGAGGATTATCGGGCCCATTCAATCTACATGGACGATCATAGGAGTACCTTATGCACCTTTCTGTATCCGGTAGGTTACGTCTTTGATCTTTGTCACAATCCGGTGGATGGTCCGTCCCATTTAGCTTGGAGCTTAGGAGATTTCCCTTTGCTGCCAACTGTATTGTGCAACCACACTAGTGAACCTTCGTCGAACCCTTTGTCGTTCATTTTGCGGTCATACCGGGTTTTCATCTTTTCGGACATTTGCTGGCCCGATTGTCTGACGTGCTCATAAATGTCATTCATTTTGTTCCACAAGTCATTTGTATAATCGGTTATACTGCGTGGGGCATCAGGTGGTATTCCGGTGATCAGGTCTGCCTGCAGGCAGCCGTAATTCTCTTCCAAAGTTTGCAAAAGCTGGTGTCACTGATGTGCTTTCGTGAACAGCGCTTCGGTATGACAACAGAAACGGTTGTATGTACTTGTCCCAGCATCGTTGCCGTTTTTTCAGATTGTGGGTAGTAAGAAGTTGTTCTTGTTTCATAAGTACCCATAACTCGGCGAGTTTCCTGGAATATTTGAGACTCAAAATTCCTTCCTTGATTGCTGTGCCTCTCCCTCCTAACCTCCTAACCTCTAAAGGTACTCCAAAACGACTGAAGACTTCATGAACTAGTTTATCTGCAACTGTTGAAGCTTCTTGATTTGGAATGGCGAAGACTTTTGTGGTGGTTCTTGATTTAAATGACGAAGACGTAGGTATTCACCACCATGAAATACTTGTTACCACTTTCACTTTCCTAATACTAGATTACTTGTGGTTTCATTTATTGCGTATATGTGGATTTCTCACTGTATATTACTAGCCAGCCAGACAGATGTTATAATAAAATAAAAAATATTGAGGGTCACTTATCGGGATGAAAACTATCCTATCTCTAAAGTAAAAACCATTAAAATCAGATCAGTGGTTTAAGAGTTCATTGCGGACAAACAACGTGACACATAATTTTCATATATAAAGATTATAAGTCGAGGCGCGGACTTCGGTACTATGCCGCCTCACCTCGACCATAATATAGGACATATCCCTCTTATACCTAAGTAAAATATAGCAAGCATGCCTTTTGAATGGTCGTACTGCAATCGCGGCACGAATCTTTATTAATGCGAGTAGTATCTCTTACAGTATGAAATGAGATGCTATATGCTACATGAAAACGCATGTAAGTAATGGAGGGTAATTTTAATTTATCAACTTACTGTATACTTCCAAAATGCTGGCATCACTTTCGACGTGACCTACTAGAAGAAGATTATCATTTGCCTTGATTATGTCATCTTCTTCGTCGCTGTCTGGCCCTTCCGTCTGCGTAAAATTATGAATCGCTCTGAATAAATTTACTGTTTTTTTTTTTGACAACTTACAAGCACAGTGGTTAGGCATTTTGTTGCAAGACTGTAGGGCATTCAAATCTCATGAAAAACTATTTTTATAGTATACAATAACTGTTACATAAAACTGTTAAGTTAGAAGTGCAATTTATGCATGTAAAAAGCTGACGATCCACGAAAAATCCTAATGTCGGTATGTTACATTCATGAGAAACTATTTTTAAAACTAGCACACAGTTCACCTGATGGTAAGTAAATGCCGTAGCCCATAGACATCATAAACAATATATTACAATTATAAATCGACTAAAAATCAAAATGCATATGTGTTGTCACCCCTGAGGACTAAGATGGAATGCCTCCACCATACAAAATTAAAAAAATAAGTATATATATTTAAAATCGAAAACAATCCAAATTGTATTTCATAAATGTTATTATTACATGAAATAGAAAACGGGCGTATGAGAACGGGAATGGATGAGATGAATGCAAAATCAGAAAATAAAATAATTTTAAGAAATTCGAAATAAGATGGAAATTACGTAAATAGAAAATGGATTAATGCTATTTAAAACTAGAAGACGGCCTAAAACTCCGTGTCTATTGTTATAATTAATTAGAGTAACATAAAAACAACAATTTAAAATTAATATGGTGGTTTTGAATAATATCCTGACTTTTACATAATTTTTTTTTTATAGGATAAGGGTGACAAGCGAGCACACAGTAAGTGGTTGTGCGGCCCATAGATATCTACATCTATCCTCTATTACAAATCAAAATGTAGATGCGTTGTCACCCGTGAGGACTAAGATGGAATGCCTCATTTCCAGTAAATCGATATCGTTGACTTAGGCTTTGCTAAGCGCGCACTCCGCACGACTTAGAAGTTAGCTCCATAAATACCGACATTGTCTTAGCTCGAAAGTAAAGTCTGAGCAAAGTCAAAGCACGGTCTCTAGATCTCAGCCTTAAGAGGCGGTAGGAAGGTGCCACTAAGATACCACTTCCTATACCATAATCCATGTACAAACATACTTAGTTAACAATTTTATAATTTAGGGTACAGGTTCACATACTCCAGATGAGTTCTAGATCAGACTTATATAATGGTCTTACCCTGATTTGAACATTCTCACTGAGATCTCCTAGGTTTGTCAGGGTTGCTACTGTACCAATGCCAATTGGATTTGCTGAAATTTAAAAAAAAATTGGTCAATGTCTAGGTCTCATATGAAATACTACACATATTGACACCACACATGATTACAACCCTGCAAGAAATCTATTTTATTAATTGTTAATAATTACTAGGCCAGAAAAATACTTGTTCTGTATGTACATTTCTAGTAGGGAAGCCCCCTTTATGTTTTAATATATTTTTATCTTATTATTTGTTATTATAGCGGCAACAGAAATACACATTTAGTGAAAATTTGATCTACCTATTGCAGATCATGAGATACAGCCCCCTGACAGACAGACTGACTGACAGCAGAGGTTTAGTAATAGGGTCCCGTTGATTACTCTTCGAGTACAGTACCCTAAAAATACCTAGTGACAATGAAATTTAATTATTTAAGAAAAAACTAGGCTGAATAGACTAATGATCTTTTTCTGTTTTACATGGGAAATAGTATTTAAAAATATGGTATGAAATATAACCTAAAATTGTGTAACTTCATATTCATTCACTGGTATATACACACTTTCAAAATTAACATACAGAGCTTTTATTGACATAACACCCAATTTTTGTATAGCAACTAGTGCCATAACTCAACATGGTACTTTTAGCAAACATGTGTTACGTATATGTCACATAAAATTTGTATGTACCTATTTATATATTTTCTAAACTAGCATATGCTATAAAAAAGATTAGAGGCCTTACATTTGTTGTAACAGCTAGATTAGTTTATTTTAGTTATTTCCATAGCATAATGTTTTATGGAAGACAAACTATGGGGAAATACAACCGACATTGAAACTATCTTTGTTTTGCAAAAGGGTGCCTTAAAAGTCTCACTGGATTTCTTGCTGGTTCTTCCCAGGACATAGGTTTTTTTCTGGACTAGTGGTAAAAGTTAAATATTTCATTCAATAAGAATTACATATAATAAATATTCAATAAAAATAATTCTATTCTATATCTTACAAGTAATTTTTCCAGGTCTGAATGATTATCTATATATGTAACCTTCATGGTACAGTGGAAAATCTTAGTTTAGGGATAATACATTTTTTATTTATACTAGATTAGGTCACTGTGTGGGATTCATGTTGGGGAGTGAAAACAGTGGCTAACATTTTATTTGTTTGCGAAGGTCACCATTATATATCTCAGCACGCCAAGGTCACATTTACAGATTACTGAAATATCAAATAATATCACATTGCTGAAATGATTTAGTTTTATGTAAGTGTTAAATACTAAATAAATACTAAAGAATTCAGCAAATATATTGCTTCACTAAGCCCAAACAATTTGATGCCACTTATATGTGTTTTTCAAAATATACATTGTATCTAGGGTTGCCATCTCCTAAAATGAAAAAGCCGGACTCGGCGTTCCAAAAAGCCGGACATTTGGCCCTAAAAACCTGTCAGTAATTTTTAGCCAAACTAACCTTTCTGAGGCCATGCAGTAAAAAAATTCACCAACTCCAACCCCCCGAGAAAAAACACTAAAATACTCCGTTACATACGTTAATTGTTTATTAATCAATCACAGCACAGTTTCAAGTGTATACGTTACTTATTTATTTATTCTGCAAGCAATGCGTGCAACGCGTTACACTAACAAAAAGCCTAACAGAAGCCGGACACATAAAAATTTGGCCGGACACAACCTGAAAAAGCCAAACATGTACAACATGGCAACCCTAATTGTATCACATCAACTGCCTAAATATGTATTAAGGCCTTAGTTAATATGTGAATTTGTTTATCCTAAGTGGCAATAAAATACATACTTTTCAATCAAATACAATTTGGTCTGACTTTAGTCTTACTTGTATCTTCTTCATCATATTGCTCAAAATTGAATTCATCATCAGGATTCTCTGGAGGTTCTCGAACATTATTTGGACCCTCTTCATCACTTTCACCTTCTTCTTGTTCTGTTAATCTATTAAAAATTACTTCATTTAAGAACGTTTTTAAATTTATCTTCGATATTATCACGGTTCATTTTAATATCTGAATAAAATAACAAATCATAATAGCTTGATTGAAAGAAATGTTTGAAGTGAACTTTTTAATAATACTTTGACATTCACTTTTTAACTTCTTCATTCCGGTTCACATTATGTTAGAAGGTTCTCGACAAAACTATTAGTAAGATACTTTGAAAAGTATCCAACCTAACCAGTAACATATGATATGATCCATTTTATTCGCTCCACATCCAAATTAATATTTTTTTCTGAATAAAAATTTTACTTTGTAACAGTGAATACCTCAAATCATCAGCAGTTTGTTTGATTATTTTCTCTAATTCTTTCTCTGTTAGTTCTATCTGTAAAAATAGATTTAAAGATATTTTTATTTTGCATTATATATTTACGAAGTTCTAAAAAATGTAGTAAGAAACCTTCTCTGGAACTGCTTTCGCAACTCCTCGTCGCACAAAATGCATACATGAAACCAAGCTAACAGTCGGCGAGTTTTCTTCCATTTCTCTAAATTTTAATCAATTTGACGAAAACAACACGAGGCACAACGTGATTTCTTGTAATTTGACATTTGTTTGACATAATTTTGTTTACTTCGCCCTTGACAGCTCTGCACACTTGCGCTAGCACTTCTTACTATAAAGTTTGTGGCTCTGCATCTGTTTTTTTTTTTTATCGATAGATCAGAAGCTTGTTTTTCTTATTAGTTTTTGGTCACAAGTTAAGAGATGAGATAGCAATGTAGTTTTAATTTTAAATGAATTTAATTTAGTTTATATAATTCTCTTTATTTGTGAAATTTAGGATTCTATATAGGTGAAAATCGATTTTGATATGTGAGAGTGATGTGATTCTGTTTATTAAATGTCTGCGTCTGTCAAGATTTTCAGTATCTTAAGCCGCATGAGCGGATAAAAAATTTCAAGATTTTACAATCTGCTTAGGTGGCTTAGACTGCAAGTGGGTTCTACGCAGGGCACAATTCTACTATGTCAGTCGTATGGAGGCCAAACTTGCTTTCTACCCTCCTGGTAGTAAGCAATTTTGGTCCCTGTCAAAGGCTATCGAACCAACTTCTGCCGTTCGTCATTAACACTCATACAGAAACCTGATGGATCACTGGCTCACTCCACAACTGAGAAAGCAAATTCATTTGCATCTTAGTTTGCGAGCGATTCTCGTCTAGAGGCTGGCTCTAAACAACCGCTAACTCTACCTTGCTGAGATTTTTCGCTGTGGAAGATCATTATCCATACGAAAGAGGTATTTAGAGCTATGCAAAACCTCGACGTGAATAAGATCAGTGTATCTGATGGTATTCCTGCAAGGGTACTAAAGCCTTGTGAGCCTGAATTGTCTCCTATTCTAAGGTGCCTATACCACCACTCCTTAAAACTCGAACGGTGCCCAAATCTTGGAAGCTTTTAACAGTGGTAGAGCCACGCGGCAGCTTTTGCTGTCGCACGGATAGGCCGGCTCAAACCGGGGTGGTACCACGACCTCACAGAATACCAGCGTGAAGTAGAGGTTTACCTCTGCGTTTCGTTTGGTGAGTACAGGTGGCCGGAGGCCGGCTTTTTACTGGAAATGAGGCATTCCATCTTGGTCCTCACGGGTGGCAACGCATCTGCATTTTGATTTGTAATACAGGATGGATGTAGATGTCTATGGGCCGCAGCAACCACTTACCATCAGGTGGATTGTGTGCTCGTTTGTCACCCTTACCCTATAAAAAAAAAAGCTTGCCAATGTGCAACCAGTACCCAAGAAGGGTAGTCGTGCCGGTCCCTGTAATTCTTGACCAATCGTCATCACTTTCACACTATGTAAAGTTATGGAAAGGGTATTGAGTAATCTGCTGACATCCTTGAAACAAATGACCTCCTCAGTGACCAATATGGCTTCCGCCCAGGGCGGTCTGCTGGGAATATTCTTGTGTATGTCACGCACTCCTGGGGCAAGGCTATCGAGAAGAACGGTGAAGTTCGAGCATTTTCGCTCGATATCTTGAAGGCTATTGACAGAGGTTGGGACGCAAGTTTGCTGAGCAAGCTTCCGACTTACGGTATCCCCGCCGAGTTTTGCAATTGGATATCTGACTTCCTGAGTGAAGAATGGTCGATCAGGGTAGTCATAGATGGCTGCTCTTCTTACCTAATGCATATTAATGCCGGAGTTTTATGGGGAGATTTTTGAGCCAATTTTTAGAAATAATTCACGAAAGTAGTCAAATAGCAGATTTAAACTCAAAACCTTTAAAATTAGCAGTCCATATGTATAATTGTTATAACAATGTATGATAGAAGCCTAATGGCAATATATTAAGCAACAAAACATAAAAGTCGTGTAAAAAAAATATTTTAGTAAAGTTTTACAAAAGACCCCGTCTGGAAAAAAGCATAATGAAAATTTTATAACAAAAAAAAAAAACAAATGGTTTCCTACGAGAACAAGTGTTATATGCTCTGACCTTTTTCTCCATCCTATTTTCAAGTACTCACTCACAAAAGAAGAGTTCTTGTTGAAGGTGCTATACCAATTGTACATTCTTGCTATTGCTCGGTAATGGTTTTATATGTACTATATTAATATTAACATTATTTTAATTAAGATACGATTATGTCATAATTTGGATTTCAGAGGAATAATCAAGAACAAAACGAGAAAACAGTTTTGTCTCCGTCAAAGAGCCATAATGCAAATTACGTACAGCCACGTTCTAAATTTGTATGTATATCCTAATATTATTGCAAAGTTAATTATTTCCTACTACTTTTATTCAAAACTATTAAAAAATTAATAATTTTATTAAAAAAAATGTTTCTATCGCTTTGGATATATGAAAGTTTCAAAAACTTATCTCTCGTGAGTTTAATATTTCATGTTATTATAACATGTGTTTTAATATGGCGATGTCGACAGAGCCAAAAAATTAGATCATTTAAGAAATAAAAGTAAAAACGTTAAAAGACTTCTAGCAAGAAATCGGTACATAAGGTGTAAAATGGACGACTTAAATAAATTAATAATCACTTCAAGTAAAAAGTTGTTATCAGGCAAAAAAGAAAGGAATGATGTAGATGAAAGCTGCGCATCGGAAAATTCGCTTGAAAGGTACAATGGAAAGTAAATTAAGGTACAATAATAAAAATGACTTCAGTTGGCAGTCTTGGAAAGGCTAACAATGTACTTAATGTACAAATAATAAGTCAATGACTAATATCCACTAGTAGAAGAGACTGACAGAAATAAAAAGAACTTAAAATCATCACATGTAATGTCACTTCAGATAAAGTAAAGCTTTTCTATTATAGTAATAATTAATATAATCAATAATTAGTAATTAGTAATTAATAAATAGTGTCAGTTATTTAATATCTATATCTATACATCTATACAAATAAATGAAATTGAAGTGCCTGTTTGTAATGTCAAAATTACGGCTTATTACTAAATGCATATGAAAGTATATACGATACTTATAACAAAAACACAATTTTTAAAATTTTTGGCTGTCTGTCGGTCTGTCTGTCTATCTGTTTGTTTGAAAGGGCTGGATCCATTTTGACGGGACTTCCACTGGCAGATAGCTGATGTCATAAGGAGTACCTTAGGCTACTTTTACTTTAGAAAACGAATTAGGGTTCCGCGCAAAAAAACTAAAACCTCAAATAACACGCGGGCGAAGTTGCGAGGATCAGCTAGTTTTAAATAAAACAACACCATCTAATATTTAAGCATATTAGAGGATTATATTACGATCGTTAAATGTTACATTTTAATTATTAATTAGTTTTATACTATATCAAAAAAAAAACTTAAAGGAAGAAGGTAATAAGATGATATTTTCTTGGTCAATTTTCGACAAATTTTAATTTTTTTAGTATCATATCATAAAGTTTTAATATTATACAAGCTGACTGATGTTCATACACTATGAATTGAAATTCAAAATATTCAATATATTTTATTTTATTTTTTTATAAAAAAAAATAACGTTACCTCCACACTAGGATTTTCTCCTGTATCGTGGAGGCAGTTTACAAACACAAATTTCACAAGGACAAACATCCAGACCCGGAACAATCATTTGTAGGCCATACAAATACTTGTTCCGTGCGGGATTCGAACCCGCGCCCCCCAGCGCAGCAACTCATTGCTAAGCCACTGCGCCACGGAGCCGTCATGCCAATATTACCAAAAAATAAAAAAGTAATAAAAAATGTACCTATAACATTGTAACAGATGTCATTATTTTATAAGTTCTACTAGCTCTTCCCCGCGATATCGCTCTCGTGTAATTTATTACGATTGGATTTCATGTGTTTTAATTTTTTTGCGCGGAACCCTAATTATTTTTCAAAAACAAAATTAGCCTAAGTTACTCCTTATAAAATCAGGTATCTGCCAGTGAAAGTCCGGTCAAAATCAGTCAAGCTGTTTCGGAGATTAGCCAGCACAAACAGACAGACAGACTTTTAAAAATTTTGTGTTTTTGTTATAAGTGCCGTTTTCATATGCATTTAGTAAAAAGCTGTTATTTTGACATTACAAACAGACACTTCTTGTATAGATTACTGCGGATGGGTTTCTTTTCTTAGGTTAAGAGAGTAGGAAGAAAAAAGTAGAAATTTAAAAACGGTTGTAATCTATTTTATTAGAAGTTATGTTGATTTTTCTATTTAATACGAATATTGAAAACCAATAAAAGCCGTTATTCGTTATCGATGATAGTGTGTATGTAATATTTCATTATCATATCGATTTATCGTTGCATCCCTAGTTATTAGTTATGGTTCTGAGGTTCTGGTTGATGTACATAGAGTAGAGTTTTTAGTAAAGAAAATAATAAAATTCTGGTCAAAGAGTAGAGTAATTATAGGGCATAGACTTGGTATTTGAATCCTAGTTTTTATTGTCTGTGTCGGTAATGTGACTTAATTTTACATGTTCTGAAGAACGGTTCTTGATTTCGAATTGATTTCTAGTTAAGCAAATATCGTACGAGGATAAATCCGTGTGCAATTTATTTTAACATTGTGGAAGTGTGGGTTCTAATGTAGCTTATAAAATATTTCAAACACTACATTTTATTAATATAATCGTGAGCGATAAGCCATAGACAAATTTTATTGTAGTACGAGTACGGCCCGAAGAGTATAGCCTAATTTTATACGGGAGTACGTTCGTTCACATTTTTATCACCACAAACATAAGTAATTACATTGCGTGATTTTAAAGTAAACGTTACATTTGACTTGTTTTTTATTTTATAGTTAGCTGAAATAATAGTTAAATTTCGCAAGAAAAAAATTTATCATACCTTTTTACGTTTAGGTTCGATTTTGTACAAAAATTTTTTGTTCTCTAAAACTACGTTCTGACAGGTAGGTACCTAATGATTTGCGAACGTCAATATCCAGTGTACAATTTTCGATTATGCTTTTCAAAGAAGTAATAAAGTTTGTTATTTATTAATTATGATATTTTGGAAATAATTTTGTGAGTAATATATGTGCTAAAATAATCAGAAATTATACTTTAGTTGTCTATACATGCACAATATGTCATAACTTCAAAAATGTCAATAAGTCCAATGTCATTTTGCTGTTTGATAATATTTATCATTAGTTTATAAAAATCATTATAATGCTTTTTATTGAATAGGTCAAATAGAATGAGCATCAAGCAAGATGAGACTGTGGCTTCGAACGAGTTTGGATTACCGGAATGTCGAACGTGTCTTCAAGCGCTCGATGCTAACTCTGTTTTGGTAGATTTATTTCAATGTTGGGTGCCGCCTTGGGACGGAATGGAGTCAACAATAGCTGAGGATTTGGCAAAACTGGCGAATATCCAGGTGATTGTTACTTTCAACTTAGATTTCATTTTACTGAAATTCGTTGTAAAGAACAGTTCTTTGCGCAAAAATGTTGTCTAGAAGAAATCCCTTTCAGAGCGATAAGGCCGCCTGTTGTACCTTATTTTATTTAGTTTTAATGTGTATTGGCGTCCAATAAAGAATATATTGATTGAGTTTGACAAAAAATAAAACTAGTTTATTATCGTTTTTATCTAGTTTTAGCAGTTTTACTAAAAAAAGTTGACAAAAAACAGTTTGAATGTATCTTATATTTTATATTTAAAGATTAGTTTCAGGGCTGATTTTTCAATCATCAGATCAAAGTATATCATGTAATATTTTTTTTATATTTAGTAATATTCTAGAATGTGGTTAACAATACTAATTTTCTCATTAACCACTAAGTAAGCTTAGAATGCATGTGTTAGGAGTAGTTCACAACAGTACAGTAGAGTCTCACTAATCTGGCACTATAAAAGGCCAGGGGGTGATGGATTATTAGAATGTTCTGACTACTGGATTGTATAGGGAAATTCAAGGTAAATAAAGCATTACATACATATGTATGTGTGTAAATATTTCTTTGTGAGAATTTATCTTACCTAACTAATTTATATATTAAAATAGTCCTTAATAAAGGTCTGTTTTTTGCAACTTGTAATTTTTGTTTAAAATATTTCTGTCTTCACGCATTCCTCTATCTTCTGTCTGTTTTTCTTAAGATCATGCACAGTAGCATGCCCAAGTCCATACTATTTCACCAGTTTGCACATTATTTCTCCACTATCTAACTTTTTTAAGATCTCCAATTTCCCTTTCAATGCTTAAGTCTTATGTTTCTGTTTGCTCAACATCTTGATCTTCACTATTTTAATGACAAATCACTACTCGCACAGCATCAGGTACGTGTTCAAGCAAGAGTGCACATACTACCTTATGTGCGCAAGCTTTTGCTCATACTGATCAAGCAGGGAGCGGAGGAAGAGAGTAGAGTAGAAGTAGAGTAGGGTGCTGGAATACTGGAGGAATCGGCACATTTACTGAAATGCCAGATTAGTGAGAGTCTATACTGTATTTACATAGTCAAATAGCAGAATTGAACCCACAACTTTTACGTTTGCAGTTCATACCCTTAACCATTAGGCTACTGTCACTTAAGTATAACCTGATAAGTATATAATTTAAATTGAAAATTTTAAAAACCCCGAAACAAAAAGAGCCTGATGATCTTCAAACGTCTTAAAAGATTTTTTTGAATCATAGCTAAGAATACTCTCAATCAAGTCACCTTTTGTACAAAAATTAAATTAAATCCAAATTGGTTCATTCGTTTGGAAGCTACGATGCCACAGACAGACACACAGGTACACAGGCACACAGATATACAGACACACAGATACACAGATACACATGTTAATATATAATATAACACCCATTGGGCTTACTTTTATTCATACAACCGTAATTTTCAATTTGTCTATGTTGTATTTTATCATATAATTAATTTTATGTTTTGAAAAATCAGCCTTTACATAAAATATAAACACATTTTTCATAGGATCATTTTTCATAATCATGCCTCGTAGGATAACTTGTAATACTAGATGATAATGTTCTTGAAATAAGTATTATCAAAACATTTACATTATATTAGATTTTAACACTTACATTCTTTTAATTTTAGATCACACAGTCAGATAGATATTCCAAAGTCATATGTGAGCCATGCTGCCTAAAGCTACAGAGTGCGTGTGATTTTGCCTGTAGTGTTAGAAAAAATGACCGGTTTCTTAGACAAAGATTTCCATCTACGCCTGAGAAAATGGAAAATTGCAACAAGACAGTGTGGCCCAAACCTATTCAATTAGACAAAAACATTAATGGCTCTGTTTATGAAAATGTTATGGGTGTAGAAATTAAGCAGGAAGTGCTCTCTGATGATGAGTATACAAGTCAGAATGCAATGGAAGAATGTAGAGAGACTGAATTAGCAAATCTTGAAATTAAAATAGAACCCGAAGAGTTAATAAAACAGCAGCCAATGCAGATAGACGAACATGTGAAGACCATAACAGAACAAACACAGCCTGATAATACTATTTTAAATGGTAAGTAATATATTTAAGTATCAAGATAATAGTGGTAGAGCCACGCGGCAGTTTTTGCTGTCGCACGGATGGGCCGGCTCGAACCGGGGTGGTACCACAACCTCACAGAAAACTAGCGTGAAGTAGAGGTATACCTCTGCGTTTCGCTTGGTGAGTGCAGGTGGCCGGAGGCCCTTTTTATTGGAAATGAGGCATTCCATCTTAGTCCTCACGGGTGACAACGCATCTGCATTTTGATTCGCAAACGAGGATAGATGTAGATGTATATGGGCTGCAGCAACCACTTACCATCAGATGGACTGTGTGCTCGTTTGTTACCCTTATCCTATAAAAAAAAAATAGTTTAATACAATACATATTCTTATTTTGAATATAGTGGTGGCACAAGAGAATCTACTACCCCATAGCATGTGGGTGATGTAAGCGATGACAGAAAAGAACTGAAACAGAAGATGGGCAGCAGCAATCTTCCTGATAACAACTAAAATTATTAAAAACACTTGCCTCGTTTGGCTAGAATTGCTAATATATTTATTGGTGCTGTAAGAATGTCCACTACCCTAAATTGTCCTGCATTTGTCGCAAGATGCGATATAGGGAAACAAACCAGGAGATGGACAGCAGCATCTTTCTAATAACAACTATAAATAAAAAAGCTGCAACTGCTTACCCCCCTTTCCAAAGAGGCAATTATGGCAAATATCCCTCCCATAAGCAGATCTATGGGGTGGCTTATGTTGTATTTTAATGCAATCTATGAAGGCCTAAATTCAGCAGTCAATTGTGATGGGATGTAAGGATGATGGTGACAATGATTTGTTTTTTTATTAATAAATTCAAATACCTTTAAAATTTACTAGCAATATTGGTGTTTATTTGGTGGTGTTGAATTTGTTAATTGTGACCCTGAAAGTAGGATAAACATTATGCCTGAAAAGTCATAAAATTCATTAATGTGATGATTGCTGAAAACTGCTAAACATCATTAAACAGTTTCACAAACTTCCTTGCTCAATTACCTTTTTTTGGAAATTAATGATGGCATTTTTGAATATATTATACTTATTGATTGTTATTGTTTTAAGGTCATTTACATGATACAAAGGATAATGTTATTGGATTAACAAATGGCATTGATAGTAAAATAGATGTAAGTATATAGTTGAATTACCAGTTTTATTCTTTATGCATTTTAAATAGTTTATATTAAAATAGAAATATGAATATTGCATTCAGTATGAGTAATGGGTTATAGTTACACCAATTAAACATTGGATTTATTTAATTTACTAATAATTTTGCATCGTGTATAAATATTTCCTTTTAGAAACTGATTAATATTTTGAAATGTTGTAGATCCCTAAGGTAAAAGAAGAGCCTGTAAGTGATGAAGACGACGGAGAGGCAATACCCACCGACCTCCCTTTGGAGTGTATGTTATGTTGCAAAGAATTTAACAGCATATCTGGTTTAAAGGTAAGAATTTTAGTTAATGTAATTAAGCTTAATATAGCACAAAACAGTTGACTAAATAGTTAATCGGTGTAAGGGCTAATTTTTCAACCTAAAGTTTATTTATGGGATAAAATATAACATGTGTGTAAAAATTACAGTTCTGTGAATAAAGTAGTGCCATTGTTTTAGTTTTATATTCAGTCAGGTTATAATTATACCACCAAACACCACATATATTCCAGTAAAATTGCCCCTGGCCTCTGGGTATACATGTATAACATCTCTTCTGTTCTGTCCAGGCACACGTAATCGCTCAACATTCCTATAAAACTGTAAGAAGAAAGACTGATAAAATTTCCCCAGAGAAGAGGCAAAAGAAACACAGTTTCATTTGTGGAACATGTCAAAGGAGTAAGTAAATTAAAGTTTGTGTGCATTTACAAGTACATTTAAATTGCTTTTAGATTTGTGTGTATTTTATATAATGGAACATGTGTCGGTTACCAATGCTCCCTTAATAATTTTTAAAATTAACTTGATGAATAGGAAAATCCAACCTCAAAGAACTAAAGATAATAAAATAATTTGAATAAAAGTGAATTTTTTGTACCCTTTTGAGTGGACTAACAAACATTACAATCTCAATAACATTTAAATAAGTCGGGGAAAAAGTATCTTCGTGTTTTGTTTGTATAAAATTGAAGAAAAATCTCTTGGTTGTACTATTTGTTTCTGGCTGGTTTTAGTATCAATACATATAAGACGTTAAGAAAAAGAAATAATAAGTAAAAATACTTTCCCGCCATTTTCAATTGGTTTTCTGTCCCCCAAAATTAGTGAAACTAACAAAGAAATTCTATACATTCTGAAGTTTTATTACAAAAAAGGAAAAAAGTGCGACTTCAAACGGCGAAAAAAATTTGTGACGTTTATGGACCTAATGCCGTCTCAGTAAGAGTAGCACAAAGTTGGTTCAAGCATTTTGAGTGAGGAAATTTTGATGTAATAGATGCAGCTCGCTCTGGTCGCCCCCATGACTCCTCTGACTCAACCGAGTCAGTAATTCATTTTAGGGCCAATGTATACGCTTCTACTACAAAATCCCAGAAAATACCCGCTCAAAGTTCAAAAACTTTATTAAACCAAGTTTGTATAAAAAGGGTATAATATTAAAAAATTATAATATTAAAAAGGTATAATATTAAAAAATTTATGGATGATAATAACCCCTGGGAATGAGGTGATCACTACCAAGCTATTTCTAATTTGTTTTGTGTGCTTAATTGTGTAACATACGTGATTGTAAGCTGTTATTTAAAAAAAAAAATCCACAGAGGTTTTCTTCGAACCAGTGGTAATTAAACAAAAGTGACTTTCAATAAGTATTATTTTTAATCTATATTGAATAAAAAAGTTTCTGTTTCAATCGGATAAAGTCAATGGCATTTTTGTAAAAAAGGGGAGCAAGATCGGCATATTAGTTGTTACGACATAGCCAAGGAATTGATTGACCACAAAACAGTGTTGACCCATTTGAAAAAGTCTGGCTATACAAAAATTTCGATCTCACTGAAAGAAACCTAAAGAATTGCATACTCACTTGCGATTCTCTGTTGAGACGTAATGAAACCGAACCATTTTTGAAAAGATTGATCACTGGTGATGAAAAGTGGATCACCTACGACAAGAAATTACGAAAAAAATCATGGTCAAAGGGTAGTCAAGCTCCACAGACTGTAGCGAAACCCGGATTAACATGCAATAAGGTGATGCTTTTACTGCAGGGTAAAACCATCGATCGGATCTCTACTGCCAACAACTAATAAGACTCAAGCAAGAAATTGAGAAAAACGGCCGGAATTGATCAACAGAAAAGGAGTGGTCTTTACGCCAGATCACACATCTTTGGCCACACAGCAAAAATTCAGAGAGCTTGCACGCTCTGATTTTCACCTGTTTCGGTCTCTTCAGAATTCTTTGGGTAGTCTTAGGCTTAACATCAAGAGAGGACTGTCAAAACTACTTGTAGCATTTTTTGTTTCATCAAAAATGCCAAGATTTCTACAGCAACGGGATTATGTCACTACCTACAAGATGGCAACAAGTTATCGAACAAAATGGCACATATATATTATAATTAAATGTAATTAAACTTTGAAAAAAAAATGTCTTGAATTTGTATATAACATACGAAGAAACTTTTTCCCCGACTTTATAGGTACAAAAATTCACCTCCTATTATTACATTCTTGAGCGTAGAATTATTCCTTCATATTTATATGGGACTTACCCTTGAAGTACCTATTTATTATAATAAAAAAAAATATTTTCATTAATATTCAATAAGAAAAATAATGATCAAAGTCACTTTACAATTGACAAAGATACGCGCAACATACGTACGAAAACATACAGTTGAGTTGAAATTAAAGTGGTAGCTCAGGGGCTAGGCTCTCGCTGTAAATTTTGCTACTGCGAAACCCGGGCAACCTGGATTCGATAGGTTGACTGATAAATCAACAATCAATGGAATTTTTAACATACCATGTTCATTTATTCATTCATTCTTTACAGCCTATCAGTCCACGGCAAAATTTTGGCTTCGGCCACAGTTTGCCTCCAAGGAGGGATATTTGCCATAGTTGCCATACTTGATATTATTTATTGTTGCCATATTATGCTATGCCACGTTCTTTATTGTTTTTGAGTTGTTATTAGGAACATGAGGTTGCACCTGTTCAGTTTTCCTCTGTTGTCTCTTATGACACCAGGATGTATCTTATGTGCCTTACACTGCAATCTTTATGTTATGTCATTGAAGTAATATGTACCACATACTAGAAGACTTAGACTTAGTTGTTTGTAGCACGCGTTTGAGTACAAGGGCCCTAACCCTTGTACTCAAACTAGATATGACCGCCGAAGGACAATTCCACGGCGGCGGCGTGGCCTGAAAATTTCCACAGTGGCGGCGGCGTCACGGCGGCGCGGCGTGGACGGCCGTGGACCTTAGATATTGTTTTATCAGGGAGAGATTTCTTAAATAAAAAAAAAAACTTAAGAAATCCATACTGTTGTTACCAAAAACAGTTTCACAATTTTTGAATAAAGCCCCTGGGAGCCCCAGTCCAAAGATGGGAACAGTATTCCATTTGAGGCTGCACCTACGCCTTGTAAAATTGCAGGCGGTGTGCTGGCATGAAATACTGTCTTGCTCTGCTGAGCACGCCATCCTGCACGACATCCTTTTTAGAGGCCAATTTAGCCTTCTTTTCCAAGTGACCACGAAACTGCACGCCACTCGATATGTCGATGCCGAGGATTCCGATACTAGCTGAGGCGACAAGGGGAGTGCCTTGAAAGTGCAAGAAAGCTGGTGATCCAATTGAAAAATTTCTCGGGAAGCCCATAGGAAGGGAGATTCGAAAGAGGCGCTTTGTGCCAAACCCGATTGAAAACCTTTTGCAATGTTCAAACTAACGGCCAATGCCTCCCCTTTGGACTCTACTGCCTCCGTCCATCTATGAGTCAAGTAGACCAGAAGATAACCAGTTAACCAGAGAATCACGATCTCTGCGGATAGAGTCTGCTGTAGTGAGGATACTGTAACCATTTGGACGTGGTCGATGAGTTGGTCTATGTCGGCATTACCGCTATGGGACCTATAGAGGCACCCGTAGACAGGTGTGGAGCAAGCAAAGGATTCTCCATTACCAGAGGTGCTGGTACCCTCCTGGGGTAGTATTACATTTAATTCCGCTACCATGTTGATGGGGGTGGTGGTGGGGGGATTGGGAATCCGTGCACCTACACGCCCCCGACGAAACGCAGATGCAGAGCTTCCACTTCACCCCGGTATTCTGTGAGGTCGTGGTACCACGCCGGCCCATACGTGCAACAACAAAAGTTGCCGCGTGGCTTTACCACTGTTAAACGTGTATGTTTTGTGGAAAGATTTTTCATTGGCCTCACATGAATATTTTTTATTTTCGTTTTATAAACATCAATAGTAGTCGAAGTTGCTGTCATTGTTAACACCACTCAGCAATTCACGTTCACTATGTGAAATATTCGACTCGACTGAGTGAGCGACAAGCGTGGCGAGGCGACTAGGCGAACTAATGCGGTCTAGCCGCGCGTGCGAGCGGGAAAGAAAGTTACGATTCGTCGCAACGGTGCGCCGCGACGTTATGAATTCACGGCGACTGTGGCGCGCCAGCGCGGCGCTCATATCTAACTCAAACTAACTTAGGCTGTGCCATAAAAAGATATTCTATGCCTCATGCCACGCGCCTGGCACTACCGCAAAGATTTTGGTCGCGGTGTCTGTTCTAGTACGTAATACATATTACTTCAATATACAGGGTTATTTTTCAAAAAGTATCAAAATTTTATATTTAAGTTCGAATATATAAATAATGATATTTTAGGCTTCTACTTTTATTTAAAATTATCCCAAATTGAATATGGTTTATGGGCTACGGCTAAGTTTACGCGCTTTTGTGTGCGATTCAATTCACAAAGTTAAGCCTATTGTTTACTTTCTTAGTGACACGCTCTCTACTAATGCTATGTTAACAACTACACGACGCGAATTATGATTCCAATTTTCCCTTCACACTTTAACTGGCTCAAGATTGTCATAATAAATAAAACTAAAAAAAATTGTTTTGCTTATTAACGACGTAACCAATGACTGTCATTGTTATGGCGTATTTAAAAAAATCGAATAAACTATTTACAACTAAATTACGCAAGTAGTCCCAATTACTAATATTGGTACCTCTAAATGGAATCCGTTTCTCTCCAGACGAGCAAGTTTTCTTAAATAATTTTTTACACTTATTACCTGTACTTGAGTACTTTAAACTTCCTTGAATGCAGCAATAATTTAGCTACGGCGGTCTTCATAACTTTGGGCCTCTTTGACATAAACACGACTCTTTATTTAACACCATAGATGAAAGTCTATCGGTGAAAATTCCGGCGAGCTTGCAGGCCATAGTATAAGGCCTCCGCGCGCAATCCGCATATCTTCATATTCACTATTTAAATAATTGCGCAGTGTAGTCACTTGAATAATTTGGTTAATGGTTTAAAATTTCTTGCCGCGGTAAAGACTCAGTTTCTTATAATCTTTGCGCACCACGTAAACGTTAATTGTTTAAAATTTATCACCGCATCGTTTCATAGTTTCATAATATTCGCCGTTCGAATATTTTCATTTCGTCATTGGTAACGAAGCGACACTACCTACGAAAATTTAAAAATAGCACACTCGTACGTTATGAGGTCATGGTCAACACTGTCATCTGTTGGCCGACCGGGCCGACGTAGGTACCTAGCTAGGTACGCGCGGCAAGGTAACTTATACATTTGCAACCGAGTGACCCTTACAAATGTGTGCGTGCGTACTAAAATAGAGGGCGTTAGATATTTATGAATGACAATCAGTTAAAATAATGCATTACCACGCATTCTGAATTTAAAAGATAAAGGACAAAATGTTTGATATTTTGAAAACTTTCTTTCACCACTCTCCTATATTACTTATTCTGAACCTTTTCTGCAAATTTAAGCATATATTGCAAAATAACCATGTTATTTTGCAATGTATGCTAACCATTTTCTATCATAGTTAAAAGTGTATTAGTGTGGTAATAAATATGGTTTTTTTTTACAGAATTCACAACATCAACAGACCTTATGGTGCATGAGACGTGTCACAACAAGAGTGTTTGCTATGCCTGTTCTGCTAAGTTTGATACATTCGAACAGCTTACAAGGCATAGTCGACGGTGTAAAGCCATAGTCAATAAGGAAGTGCGCAAGCCAAAGACTTTGGAGGATGTGAAGAGGTGAATAATGTGGTATGAGGATATGAAATTACAAAGATTATCGTCATCATTACATCCCTTCACAAGTTCACTGCTGAACATCCACCTGCATCCATGGACCAGATTTTCACGCCATCCAATATAAAGATGTTTTTGCTAATTTATTATTAATTATCTTTTCACGACTTTTTTATTTAAGTAGGCATATTTTCATGTTTTTTATTGAAGTTAGTTTTGTCAGTCAGATGTCACCCCCTGAGGAGTAAGATGGAATGACTCATTACCAGTAAAAAGGGTCTCCAATTCTTGACACTCACTATTTAATACATGACCTGTGAGAGCGTAGCACTTTCCAAGTTTAGGTGACCCATTCGAGTTGCAGCGTGACTCTTCGGCATGTATACAAGGTTTGTTTAATTCCTCTTTTACTGTGCAGTCCATACTGCTCTGGAATGCCCTGCCTGTTGATACCAAAAAAACCAGTATAACAAACTTTTTTTTTAATATACTAGTTCTTTTCGAGTTTGAGAATTCTTTGACAAGAACAATACCACCTGATTTATCAGACTTTTGTTTTTCTCTCTCTTTCGCTTTGCAAGTGATATTTTGTATAATATGTATTTTAATATGTATTATTTATATTTGTATTATATTATTTTATACTTGTTTAAAGATTTTGTATTTAAGTACCCGTTTATATGTTTATATATTTATTAATTATTCATTCCTTATTATAAAGTAGATATTGTTTGTATATTTTTAAATATATTTTATTTATTTGCATTTTCTTTTTTTTCTTTTTTATAAGATATCATCTTTATTACTTTTTTATTAATTTATGAAGTGGGTGTTACACCTACTACAGCTTCTCAAATCATCCATGGTTGACTGGTAGAGAATGCCATAAGGCATTAAGTCCTCCCTTTATATCCATTATTATAAGGTATTATGTAAAAAAGATTAAATAAATAATAAATAAAATAAATACAAGCCTATTTAAATTTTTTACAAGACTGTTATGTACCGCTATCACAGACCACTATTATACAAGTACGCTGAACTGGCTATACATCTTGACGTAACGAGGCGATTTGACTATCACCATTTTGGCGCTGACAGCAGTAGTGAGCGTCCATGGAACTGATAATAGAGATAGCAGAGTGTGACAAAATATATCGAAAAAATTCTATACCCAGGTCTATCCGTAACGTCAATTCTATTTATTTATAATTTTAATATAATGCCATACAATAAATAAATGTATCAATTACTACTTACATATTAGACACAAGCTTTATAGCTCATATAAAACGATATCTATAGGTACAATTAGAATTTGAAAAACTTTAAATTACATTGAAGAATAGGTACCATTTCAGAAATCATTGACGTCATAATCAATTTGCTTCGGACGGCAATTCACAAGTTTTATGCTTTTTAGTCGCAGTTTTAGCATATAGTAGTATACAGTAGTTGGTTGAAAACCTGTAAATGAATAAATATTTGATAATTTTCTTTTGTCAGCGGCTTTCATTGTTGTAGACAGATATAGGTAGAAAAAACATCGATAAGTATTATTGACAAGGAACTCGTCAACGCTATTAAATTTTATTGTTTATGAAAAATACGTAATTTAAAGCTCACTCTATTCATGGATGGCCACACCTCACACATTTCCCTGCCACTAAGTCTTTTTTGCAAAGAAAAAGGAATAATACTAGTAACATTACTAGCAAATTCTAATCATTTACTCCAACCACTGGATGTTGGTGTATTTCGACCAGTTAAAGGCGTTGAAAAATGTTGTGCACGAGTTCAGAGTGAAAAATAATTACGCTAAATTAAAACGCACAGATTTCACTAGATAAGTACAAAAATGTTTTGATAAAAGTCTTGAAGCAGATACAATCAAAAATAGCTTTAAAAGCGCTGGGATATTTCCATTCAATGCCAACAATATTGACTTTTCTAAGGTATTTCATCAGAAATCAGACTAAACTGTAAGTAATACTACAGTTTAAAGACATACAGTTTGGAAACGCCTTTAATGTCAGCCGATGCCGCCGCCTGTGTAGGTATTTACTATTTAGGCCGTCCTGATGTTAAATTTTTGTAGATTACCACAGAGTGCCTGAAGATGGCAATCGGTGCTGTTGAGTCTGCGTTTCAGTTTTAAACGTAACTTCTTTTATTTCTTTTTTCACCATTTTCATATTATCACCGAGCATTTGAAGCCTTATGTTTAACTGGTGACTAATGAAATTCTGTAGTTCTTGCTGGGCGACTAACTGCTTTTACCGAACGACTTCCTATTCTTGACGAGCCGCTGCCAATTCCAGACGAACAGCTCGCTAATTGGCCTGCAACTGGCTTTGAATAGTGGCCAGTAACACAGGCCGCCATTCGAGGCCAGTTGTAAGGTCCATGTTCCCATCTAATGCCGGCCCTGATGGTGGGACCGCTGAATGAATCTGGAGTCAACAGTCTTCAACTATCCCTGTTCCTGTTGCCGTGCAGCATCCTACTCCGCTTGCCTCCTGGTGCGTGGATAACGCTTTCCTTCTTTCCGTGACATTATTAGCATTCTGCTTCTGACACCAATTGTTACGTTCGGGGTTTTATTATCTTAATTGAATATAGTGACATAATTTTATTAGAACATTAAAACCTCATCTAAGAAGACAGATTTACGAACGATTAAACTCTACAGGAATAAATAAAGTTGATTTACAAACACCATGTATTGTTATTCTTCTTACCCTTTTTCCTTTGCATTCTGTACACTCGGAATTAGGAACTATTAGAATTAGGAAAATTCTTTTCATATTTAATTATTTTAGAATACAAATCCAGATCTAATAACCTATTATCTATTTCAAGAGCAGAAACAATAATGGTTCTGATAAAAATAGCCAAACCTTCAAAAAGGTACAGGAAATGCTCAATTTTCGATCTCCTTTCGAGATTTAGTAAAAAAACCGCGGACATAGGTGTCTTTACCTTTTTACTAACATGAAACATAACCGAACTACCACAACCTGCACTCTTTTTCTCGTTTAAAACTTTAAAATGCTCTTAGAAGTTTTGAGCAACACAACTGCCATTTGCAAATTATCGTCAAATTTAGTTCCCGGTACACTCAGTGGCGGCGCTTCGCTTCAAATCTGCACAAACATTTCGTAGGGTATATATCCAGTCCAGCGTAATAGTATATGTGAAGGTCAATGACCGCTATCAATCGATAATTATTGTGTAATTTATGGTGCATGTAATCATAACCCAAGAAATCGCTGTGATGTTTCCCACAGCTGTCTCTTACTATAATGGTTATATATGCATATAATCATATGAAGATGTTTTCATTCATTCATTCATTCATTACAGCCCTTCACAAGTCCACTGCTGAACATAGGCCTCCCCCAAAGAATGCCACAAAGCACGGTCCTGAGCCACCTGCATCCATCGACTTCCTGCATATCTTACCAGGTCGTCACTCCATCTAGTGGGGGGACGCCCAACACTTCGCCTGCCGGTACGAAGCTGCCACTCGAGAACCTTTTTTCCCCATCGGTTGTCGGTTCTTCGAACTATATGGCCGGCCCATTGCCACTTCAGCTTACTAATCCGTTGGGCTATGTCGGTTACTCTGGTTCTACTGCGGATATCCTCATTCCTAAGGTTATCACGCAGAGAAACTCCGAGCATAGCCCTCTCCATAGCTCGCTGAGCGACCTTGAGCTTCCTCATACGGCCAGCAGTGAAGGACCACGTCTGAATTCCGTATGTCATCACTGGTAACACGCACTGGTTGTACAGTCTCGTATTCAAGTTTTAAGGTATACCTGACGAGAAGATGTGCCGTAATTTCCCGAACACTGCCCAATCGAGTTGAATCCGCCGATTGACCTCTCGGTCGAAGTTGGACTTACCTAGTCGGACTATTAGTCCAAGGTAAACATATTCGTCAACAACTTCGAGTTTAGTGCTCCCAACAACTGCCGGCATAGGTGTGACATGGACATTAAACATGATCTTTGTTTTCTCCATGTTCATCTTAAGACCTATCCCTTGGGAAGCACTATTGAGGTCATTGAGCATAGTGCTTAGGTCCTCCAGCGATTCTGCCATAAGGACTATATCGTCGGCAAATCGAAGGTGAGTGATGTACTCGCCATTGATGTTGATACCGTATCCTTTCCAGTACAGAAGCTTGAAAACGTCTTCCAATGCAGCGGTGAAGATTTTCGGGGATATGACGTCACCCTGTCTTACACCTCTCTGCAATTGGATAGGTTTCGTACTCTGGTTCTGTACTCAGATAGCTATCGTAGCCCTACTGTACAAGCACTTCAGCACTTCGATATACCGACAGTCCACTTGGCACCGCTGAAGGGACTGCAGCACCGCCCAAATTTCGACGGAATCAAAGGCTTTCTCATAGTCCACATACGCCAGACATACTCCTTCGACTTCCGTACAATTTGCCGAAGGGTATATATGTGGTCTTTGGTGCTAAAGCCTTTTCAGAAACCGGCTTGTTCGGGAGGCTGGAAGTCGTTAAATCTGCGCGCGAGACGATTCGTAGTGACTCTCGAAAACAGCACGTAGACGCGGCTCAGAAGGGAAATCGGTCTGTAGTTCTTCAAGAGAGCGTTGTCACCTTTCTTGAAGAACAAGACCACTGCACTTCTGCTCCACGCCTCCGGTGTAATGCCACCATGGAGGACGGAATTAAAGAGCTTCTGAAGGACTTCAAGTACCGGTTTTCCACCCGCTTTCAGAAGCTCCGCTGTAATTCCATCCTCGCCTGGGGCCTTGCCGTTTTTAAGGTGCTGGAGAGCCATTTTAATCTCGCTCAGACTGACGTCCGGGATATCATCGTAATAAAGTCTTTCCTATGGCTCCAACGATGACGTGTACAGCTGCCCATAGAACCTCTCAATCTCACTCAAAATCTCAGGTGGAAACGATGCTGCCACATTCTGTCTTCAGCTTTGACAGTTTGCTCTTTCTGGCAGACAGATCTCTGGCAAAGACTTTGGAGCCTTGGTTCCGCTCGATCGCTTCTTCAATACGAGCTGTATTGAAGTTGCGTAAGTCCCGCCGCATGCATTTGGAGATCTGTCTATTCAGTTGCCTGTATGCTGTCAAATCTGTTGAAGAATGTAGCTTCATCTCCCGTCTAACAACCATGAGATTAAGAGTGTGATCGGAGAGTTTTTGTGTTCTTCTGCGGCGGGTCTTGCAGAACTTAGCTCCGACCGCATGGACAGTTTCCACGAGCTTTCACGTTTCAGTTTTCACGTACACGTCCACGTCTTCTAGGCACTGAAAACGGCTTTGTAACTCGAGCTGAAAGGTTTCGGGACTTTGGATTAGAGCACGAGGGGGACGGAGCGTTGACTTCATTAGACGAGACCTCTCCAACTTAACGTTTAGGTTCAGTGTGCCTCTAACCATTCGGTGATCGCTGCCGGTTTTCACCCTCGCGATCACTGAGACATCACTGAACAGTTGTCGTCTGGTCGTCATAATGAAGTCAATCTCATATTTTGTCGAACCGTCGGGGCTCGACCAGGTCCACTTCCTGTGGGGCCGCTTCTGGAAGAAAGAGTTCATCATAAAGAGTCCCTCTTTCTCCATGAAGTCGGCCAGCTGCTGGCCCCTTGGGTTCCGTTGCCCTATGAAGATGTAATACTATAAAAGACAATATGAAGGTTTATAATATACACAAAGTATTCTGAAGAAGTGAAGTAAGGAAGACTAAGACACCCCTCGAAATTCCCCTTCCCTAAAATTTTGTGTCTAATTGTAATGTGTATATGAATAAATACATAATTGTGTTAACAGTATGCATAATTTTCAGGCCTATATTCCAAGATCTACTAAGAGTTAATAGCACTGAAAAAAAACCAACCAAACATATGTTAAAATGTTCAAAATGCAATGAAGAATTCAGTAATGAATATTATATGACAATCCATGAAGAAATTCATCATTCGGTAAATAGTGAAAGAATGAAGAATAAGGGAGGAAGAATAAGTGATATCAAAACTGCAGTGAATAACCTAAATAGTTTATTTGGTAGTAGTAATTCGCCGTGATTTTAGTATGGTCTGTTTAAATAGAAAATTGAAGGGGGTCATAACATTTTGTAAAAAAAATTGGTTCATAAACTATTTAGGTGGCAAAATTGTCTTATTTTAAATTTAAATAACTTTGAGTAGGTCTTTTAACCATGTAGTGGCTGTGTAAGAATATCCACTACCCCATATTGTTCCGAGGGTGTCGTAAGAGGCGACAGAGGGAAAATGAAACAGAAGATGATCTTCCTGATAACAACTTAAAATATTTAAAAGCTGCGGTTGCCAACCCGCCTGCTCAGCATGGTGACTATGGCAAAATCTCCCCATGAGGCAATTTATGAGGAAGGCAAATGTTCAGCAGTGGATTTTTATAGGCTGTAATGGATGGAAGTAGGTCTTAGTTGACGGAGTTCACGTAATATAAAGAGCAGCAAAGATTTTAAGTTTTAAATTGATTATTTCGGGAATGACATACCCTCTTAATAATCTCAAGTGTATGCACTGATTTGTGAACTAAAATTAAAGATAAAAGCTTCGTTGAGGAAATTTAACAAACGATCTGTCTGTTTAGACGAGTGTAGTATGTGCCTCCCAATACATGGTAATATACGTTAATAATTATTGTTCACTTGATTAATCAATCATAAAACAATAGATGTGATTTCTGATTTTTTGTCGAGCAACAATAGAGTTGATAATATGAGAACCTTCATACACTCCCATAGACTAAACAGCTTTTCGTTTAAAATTGTATGTTTGGTTATACTTTTTGTGCCACCTTTTTCTTCATTAAGTAACTCATTGTATTCGAAGAACCAATGGCTTCCAAAGCAAGAAAGCTAACACTAATTTAAACTTTGACTTCACTTATTTTCCACCGGAAGTCGGCTAAGGCAAAAAGCCCCCCTGCATGATTGTTTGTATGAATATAAAAAAAATGTTGGTTTGCCATTTTTAATTTTACTTCATACTTTATTTGTACATGATGAACATTGTAAGTGAAAGCATCTGTAAATATTTGTGGAAGGTTTTAAGTATGTAATGCATTGTGATTTATTGAATAATGAACATTTTTAAATATATATAGCTGTATTTTACAGTAAGCAATTTTTATAGTTTCATTTTTAATATTTTGTTATCATCTGTGGATATTTTATTCTTTGCATTGAAAAGAATGCTAATAATGCTATAAATGTTATTAATTCTCCCACTACCCACTCCCAGTGAGCTTAAAATGCATTTTTTTTATAGGATAAGGGTGATAAACGAGCACACAGTTCACCTGATGGTAGTGTTGCCCAAATGCAAGAACAAGACGAGACTTAGCAAGTCTTGGTCTTGGTCTTGCGCCAATACACCTGGTCTTGGTCTTAGTATTGCGTTCCCAGTCTTGGTCTTGGTCTTGCAGCAAGAGTCTCGCAAATTTTAACAGTGGTAGAGCTAAGCGGTAGCTTTTGCTGTCGCACGGATGGGCCAGCTCGAACCGGGGTGGTACCACGACCTCACAGAATACCAGCGTGAAGTAGACGTTTACCTCTGCGTTGCGCTTGGTGAGTGCAGGTGGCCGGAGGCCCAATTCCCCCCCCCCCCCCATCAACATGGTAGTGGAATTAAATAAAAGACTACCCCAGTAGGGTACCAGCACCCCTTGAGAATATCCTCGCTGAGCATTCACGAACAAACTACTTCACTCCTGAGCGTGGGTGCTCAGGCTGCCCCGCGTATTCTGGGGGGGGGGGGGGGCAAAATTCCGCTCGCGACTAATGCTGCTCGGGGCAAGCGACTTCATTCCAACTTGAACGCTGTCCATTACCATCTAGAGACGGCGAAGCCGGCCTTGCTCTTTTTAACCGAGACTCAGGTGTCCTCTCCGGCTGATACTTCATATCTCTCCTACCCGGGATACAAATTGGAACACTCCTTTGTGCCCCGGGCTGGAGTTTGCGTATACGTCAGAGAGGACATCTGTTTTCGACGCCTCGGCAGTCTTGAAGGTACGAACCTGTCCATCCTATGGCTGCGCGTAGACAGCGACGACCATCCCCGCGTCTACGGGTGCCTCTATAGGTACCATAGCGGTAATGCCGACACAGACTGACTCATCGACCACGTCCAAATGGCTGCAGACTCCGTGCTACAACAGGTTCCATCCGCAGAGATCGTGATACTCGGTGATTTCAACGCCCACCACGCTGAATGGCTTGATTCTCGTTTAACCGATCATGCGGGTAGATCTATCTATGACTTTGCATTGGCATATGGTCTAACACAACTGGTTACTTCGCCTACGCGGATCCCAGATGTGGAAGACCATGTACCTTCCCTGTTGGACCTTCTGCTAACCTCTCATCCGGACGGATATCAGGTCTCCGTCGATGCCCCTCTGGACTCTTCGGACCATTGTCTGATCCGGAGTACGGTGCCACTGACGCTCCAATCGCAGTTGCGATCTGCAGCTTGCCGCCGTGTTTGGCACTATAGGTCAGCTGATTGGGACGGGATGCGGTCTTTTTTTGCATCGTACCCTTGGGGGCGGGTTTGCTTCTCGCCGGAAGATTCCAGCATAGATGCCGATTCTGTTGCTGATGTGGTGCTTCAGGGTATGGAACTTTTTATTCCATCCTCTGTGGTGCCCATCGGAGGCAGATCCCAGCCATGGTTTGGTCGCTCCTGTAAAATAGCATCACGCTATAAGCAGGAGTGCTACCGGGCCTGGGCTGACGCATCAACGTCTCGGGATGTAAACACCAGCGCACTTAAAAAGAAGTATAATTCCGCCTCTAGGTCCTTCAAAAGCGTCATGGCCAAGGCAAGGTCTGAGCACATCGGCAGAATTGGCGAGAAGCTAGTTCGCCTTCCTTCGGGAACCCGTGCATTCTGGTCTCTCGCCAAGGCTGTCCAAGGGAACTTCTGTCAGCCATCTCTTCACAGGGCGGACGACTCACTGGCCCATGCCGCAAAGGAGAAAGCCGATCTGTTGAGCTCTCTTTTTGCGTCCAACTCGACTCTAGATGACGGGGGGCACACACCGCCGACCATCCCGCGATGTGAGTGCTCCATGCCGGATGTTCGGTTTACACAGCGCTCGGTTCCCAAAGCACTCTTCTCCCTGGACGTCAGCAAGTCGAGTGGGCCCGATGGAGTCCCTCCCATTGTGCTGAAGACGTGTGCTCCGGAGTTGGCAACGGTTTTAACGCGTCTTTTCCGGTACTCCTACTCCCAAGGCGTAGTCCCGAATTCATGGAAGACAGTTTTGGTCCACCCGATCCCTAAAAAAGGCGACCGCTCAGACCCGTCCAACTACAGGCCTATTGCCATCACCTCCTTGTTCTCCAAAATAATGGAATCCATTATAAACTGCCAGCTCATGAGGTACCTTGAGGATCACCAGCTGATTAGTGACCGCCAGTACGGTTTTCGTCGAGGTCGATCAGCTGGTGATCTTCTAGTCTATCTGACTCATAGATGGGCGGAGGCAGTAGAGTCCAAGGGGGAGGCATTGGCCGTTAGTTTGGACATAGCGAAGGCCTTCGATCGGGTCTGGCACAAAGCGCTTCTTTCGAAGCTTCCTTCCTATGGGCTTCCCGAGAAATTGTGCAAATGGAACACCAGTTTCCTTGCTCATCGGAGCATTAAGGTCGTAGTAGACGGTGCATGCTCTGATTTCAAGCCTATCAACGCTGGTGTTCCACAAGGCTGCGTGCTATCACCAACGCTGTTTCTCCTGCATATCAATGATATGTTGCTAACTGGTAGCATTCATTGCTATGCAGACGACAGCACTGGTGATGCCTTATATACCGGCCGTGCCAATATTTCTCGGGAAAACGTCGCTGAGTACGGGACAAACTTGTGTCTGAAGTCGAGTCTTTGCTTAACAAAGTCTCGGATTGGGGCCGACTAAATCTAGTCCAGTTCAATCCCCAGAAGACACAAGTTTGCGCGTTTACCGCTAAAAAGAACCCCTTTGTCGTATCTTCTCAGTTTCAAGGCACTCCCCTTGCTGCATCAGCTAGTATCGGAATCCTTGGCGTCCACATATCGAATAGTGTGCAGTTTCGTGGTCACTTGGAAGGGAAGGCCAAATTGGCCTCTAAAAAGCTTGGCGTGCTCAGCAGAGTGAGACAGTATTTCATGCCGGAACATCGCTTGCAACTTTACAAAGCGCAAGTTCGGCCCCACATGGAATACTGTTCTCATCTCTGGGCCGGGGCACCCCAGTGCCAGCTCCTTCCACTTGACCGCATCCAGCGCAGAGCGGTTCGAATCGTCGACGACCGAGATCTTTCTGATCGGCTCGATACACTGGCACTGCGTAGAGATGTTGCATCTCTTTGCGTATTTTATCGCATCTATCACGGGGAGTGCTCTGAGGGATTGTTCGGACTAATTCCAGCCGCTCAATTTCACCATCGCACATCGCGACAAAACTCGCGTTACCATCCATACCATCTGGATGATTGGCGGTCCACCACTGTGCGATTTAGAAGAAGTTTTCTCCCTCGCACAACTTCCTTGTGGAATCAATTACCACCAGCGAATTTTCCGGACCGATACGACTTAGGAACCTTCAAGAAAAGAGCTTACACCTTTCTAAAAGGCCGGCAACGCATCTGCAATTCCCTTGGTGTTGCGGTTGTTCATGGGTGGCGGTAGTCACTTACCATCAAGTGAGCCGCATGCTCGTTTGCCCCCTCTTCTATAAAAAATCTATTATCTATTAGCCTATTACTATTTATTAAACGTTACTTTAGATCTTAGAACAACGTAAAAGAGTAGGTACATATTGAGCTTGAATTAACATAGCCATAGTAAAGACCAACCATATTAATAAATGTCTAAACATTTAATGAGAAATTCGAAAAATCAACTGACACCGGGTGGGGTTTGAACCCACGACCTAAGCGATCCGTGCCGATGCTCTAACCAACTGAGCTATCTACCGTGTCCCACGGCCACGGGCGTCAGTTTCTTAATAAACGTTTACATTTAATAAGCTTACATGTGCTAAAACATGGTTAAACATACATATAAAAACAAATTAATGGCAATAACTACACTGTATTTTAAATAACATTATCTCTCTAGAAAGAGATTGTTGGACCCTCACCATATATGAAATGGAATAAAAGAGTTATACAATATACAATTTATTTAAATAAAAAATAAAATACAATGCAAATTAAATTACTTCACAGTATGTACACAACAGCTTTGACATTACTGTTACTTTATATTTATTCTTTTGACAAAGCATTAAGGCTTTAACTAGCCTGAATGACCTTGACGAAACGGCGATCGCAGAGATTTTAGCCGATGTCAATACCGTCTAGCAACTACGTTCTGTATTACTTATAAAAGTGCAAAGATTAATAGCCTGCAGACATAGAATTATTACGCATAGAATACTAGTACGCGCACCGAAAGTGAAGCAAGTAAAACTAACTCGAAACCGCGTTAGTTGACTCACCGACGCGTCAGTGCGCAACGTCACGTCTTACGGAGAAGAGCTCGCGAAAAATTGTAAAAATTACCGTTTGTGTTGTAAAATATTGTCACAACGGTGATGATAAACATAAAAGAAGTAATGGTATTACATTTCACATATAAGTTTATACATTTAATTCATTATAAGTACGTAAAACTAAAAAAATACTTACCTAAGCTCACATAATACAAATGTTGCTAGTTGTGGGGGAAAAATCACAATTTTCTTTTAAAAATATTTATTTTCTATTTGTGTTTAAAACGTTTAATCGCAACGCTCTGTGTAAAACTCAAATGTTTATATATAGATACCTACTTCTCTAAGTGTTAACATTATATTAACAATGGGTGTCTATTTAAAATTAATACGGAATGATCAGTTAATCGCGATTCGTCGACGCCATTTTAACGCGACTATTTTATTTTAATTTGATTTTTTAATGACTAAGGTTACGTTTTAGGGTATAGAATAAAAACTTTTTTATTTACAACATCATGAGATTATTAATAAGAACGCCTTTACTAACCAGATGTCACTTTACACCCAAACATTAACCAGATGTTACGTTGGACCCAAACATAGCCTATTTTAACCGACTCCCAAAAAGAAAGGTTATC